ACAAAACGTAAAAAAAAAAAAAACAGGTAAAATTTCCCAGAACTAAGGAAAAAAAAAAAAAATCCAATCTTTAACTGTAAAGGGAGAAGAAATGAAAAACATATTTTCCTTTGGACGGAAGCAAATTTGGTTATCAAACAAAAATACCAGCAACACAGCATCTGAAAAAGACAAGAAAACAAATTCAGTGTTATTTGCTCCCTTTGTTCTTGCAAAATCTTTCATTTGTCCCAAATATATTTAGCAAAAATAAACCTCACTTCATCTGAAGACAGACAACAAAAATACTTCCCTTTGCAAAAGATACCACATTTACTAAAAGACAAAAATAATTCCCTAACATATTTAACAGAAATACTCCCCAACTTACATCCCATTTAACAAAAATTGCACCCTGACTTCAAAACATTTATTAAAAGTATTCTCTATGCATTTTTATAGTAAAATTATTATTTGAGTAATTGGTTATTACTATAGTGGATTCATATATTACTCTTTTTGATTAAATAGCTACTTCTATAGTAAAAGCATATATTAATTTCTTTTGAATAGTCACTTCTATAGTAAAAACACATTAGATTTTTTTTAATAGTCCCTCCTACAACCAGTTTGAAATTATTATGCAAATCAAATAAACCTCAATAACTCAAAAAGTTTTGAATCAATATTTGTCAAATTTAAACTTGTCCATTTCTACCCTTAGTAGAATATTTAATTAAATTTTCTGATATTTTTAATGGTTAATTTTTGAGATATTTAGTATTTACAAAAATGGACTGACTGAAGTTAATATGCGGATTAAACTAATATTAGCATAAGGCTACTGAAATCTAATAAAAAACTATTTTTCTTTTTGTCCATATGTTGAAATATTGGTAAAGGGAAGGATCTAACAAATGCTGAGAAACAACAAATAACAAAGTTATTGAGTGAGGGAATGTCCATATTGATGATATCAGCTGAACTTTGTAGAGATCTTCAAATGATAAAGGAAGGCTGTTGAAAATATCAGTCGAGAACTCAAAGCAAAGGGAAAAGCTTTAAGAACTTGCTTCCTCGAGATGAACGTAAAATAAAGTTATAGCAAAACAAGCACTTTTGACTAGTGCTCAGATCTTTGAAAAGGCTGGAATTGAGGGAATCAAGAAGGACAAAAGGTGTAGAATACTTTGTGAATTGGGATCTGTAAACAACTCTTTGAGATAAACTCCCCCTCACTAAAGCAAATATTTTAAAGTGTCAAAATTAGGCCAAGAAATATATAAAAATTGACTTTTCTAAAGTAATTTTCATGGATGAATGTCAAGTGACATTTGATAGACCTGATGGATGGGCCAAAGTATGGATTTTATCCAATTCAAATGTGCCTGTGACTAAAAGAAGGCAACAAGGAGGCGCTAGTGTTATGATATGGGCTGGAATTGTTAGTTAGCCAAACCATTATTGGACCATTCAACATTGATGAAGGAGTTAAACTGAACAGAGTTAACTATGGCAATTTTATGAACAAAATTTCTTTGCATGGTACAAGTCCCAGTTTGCAGTTTCAAAGTAAAGTGTGTATTTATGCACAACTATACTCATTCTCATGTATCTAAGCTTACCTGTGAGTTCTTTGAGTATAAAAGAATTATAGGAGAGAAGATAATAGAATGGCCACCATCAAGTCCTGATCTGAATCCAATCAAAAATACATGGTCAATGGTAAAGATGAAACTATATGAAGGTAGCAAACAATATAACAACAAAGAAGACCCATGGGAAATAATTAAAACTACCATGTCAGAAATTAAACCTGCTGAAGTAAAGAAATTAACAAAATCAATGGATAATACATTACTGGCTGTTATTGAGAAGAAGGGTCACTATATTAAAATATAAAGGATTTAAAGACTTATCATACATGTCTTTGTGTGGCGTGGCCAGGGCAGCGGCCTGCTGTCTTTGGTCAGGATCAGTCCTGGTATTAGAGAACAAGCCGTCAGGCCACACTCGTCAGTTGTTGGTGGCGTTTGACACAACAGCTGGTCTTTAAGTTGACCTCTCCAACTATGACCTTTCTTACCCATGTTGTGATTTTGGATCTTTAAAAGGGTCAAGTTGAATTATCACTGGGGTATCTCAACCAAGCTAAACCAAGGATTTGGATATGCACACAAAATTGAAAATAAAATAAATGATGCATGAATAAGTTACTAGATGATATTCATATAAAAAATAAAAAGATTATTACAGTTTTTTTTCTTTTTCTTTTTCCAACCTGTTTCTAATATTTGGCGATGGAACGAAAATTTCAGGTAACTCCTCTAAAGATGGCCAAACTTGACAACTGGATTTCTTCAAGTACTGTTGATTGTACTTTCAAGGATGGCACAAGAATATCGTCAGAGATTCTTTCAGTGACAACTGGATTTAACTTCAAGTACTGTTGATTGTACTCTCAAGGACAGCACAAGGATATTGTTGGAGTTTTTTTTCTTCAAGAGATAATTATTATTATTAGGTTGGCAAAACAGCATAATGGCAAAAATCTCCCTGTCCACAACTACTGCAACTCGCCACAACTCTCTTAGCCCCTGTGGGTGTTTGTATTTATGGGTGTCCATTCCAAACTGGTATGGGGAAAGGCACATAAAGGGATTTTAGGCAAATATCCTAAGATTCAACCAGTATCCTTCCTTCGTTCTTTGTTTCACACTTCCAATTTTGGAAGGTCTCCCCTCCTTCGGGAGGAGCCATTATATGACGTCAGACTTTCTAACATCTCCCACTGCCTTCTCAATTGCTCATTCTGTCTTCACAATTATAATTTTTTCTCAGGGAAATTTTGGTTGATAATTTTCTCAGTACGTAGACAGTGACACCTTTCAACAGTCGCCTTTAGCCCCTGAACCTGCTAGCTATGTCCCGCTAGACAGTAACAATTGTATTTTGTATTTTTTTCAACAGAATTCATACTTCTGTTCTCAATGCCCTGGGAAAATGAGTCTCTTCCTGATAAAAAAAAAAATAAAATCGTTTTTTAACCCTTTTTGTCCATATGCCATGTTAAATATTGTCACATTTGTTATTTGCTTTATTATAGATGATGATCAATATTTGATGATTTTATTACCTTTTTATTGAAGTAAAATGTGATTATTTGATTTTGCCTAATAACTTCAGATGGCAGTTTTTTAGAATACATCAATTAACATCAATAGCCACAATGACACATATCGACACTACCTAAAGTTTTAACTCAGGCTTCGTTTTGACATCTAAATTGATTATTTAAAATTTGACAATTTTTTTTCAAACCAAATTTGAATTATTGAAGTTTACATGATTTGCTTAATATCTCAAGACACATATTAGCTTCTTTTGAATAGCCACTTCTATAGTAAAAACACATATTAGTTTCTTTTGAATAGCCACTTCTATAGTAAAAACACATTAGCTTCTTTTGAATAGCCACTTCTATAGTAAAAACACATATTAGTTCTGTTGTGCGAGGATATGTAGTATAGACTTCATTTAAAGTGTATGGAACATACAATATAAATATATGAAAAGTTAAAAAAATGAAAGTCTTCATACAAAAAACATTTGCATATATATATTTTATATTTGAAATTCTTAATATAAGGTTAACATGTATTTACTTACAAAAGACTGGGTACCAAAAACAGTATGAATTTTGTACTTATCTGTTTGGTTTGTCACGAGACTGCAATGTGTGCATCCTGTTCTATAACTTTACAGAGTGAAAAGAGAAAGATTGACTTTCCCACTTAATGAAGTTTCGTGCAGGTCTTGTCAGCTCCTGTGGCTGTTTTTAATTCTTGTGAATAGTTATGATTTTATTGTTATTTTTGTTTGGGTCAAGGGGACATAACTTTTTGCCTCTCATTACAGTTTCTTTTGAATAATCACTGCTAAAGTAAAAACATATTTTCTTTCGAATAGTCACTTCTATAGTGAAAACACATATTAGCTTCTTTCAAATAGTCACTACTATAGTGTAAACATTAATTTTTTTTCAAATATTCACTGCTATAGAGTAAACATTAATTTCTTTTAAATAGTCACTTCTTCAGTGAAAACACATTAATGTCTTTCTAATATTCACTTCTATAGGGAAAACATTATTTTTTTCAAATAATCACTTCTATAGCAAAAAAAAAACATTAATTTCTTTTGAATAGACATTACTACAGTAAAACATATTAGTTTCATTTGAATAATTTCTTCTATAGTAAAAACATATTAGTTTCTTTTGAATAATCTCTTCTATAGTAAAAACACATATTAGCCTCTTTTGAATAATCTCTTCCATAGTAAAGACACATATTAGCTTATTTTGAGTAATCTCTGCTATAGTAAAACACATATTAGCCTATTTTGAATAATCATTTCTATAGTAAAGACAGATATTAGCTTCTTTTGAATAATCTCTGCTATAGTAAAAACACAGATTAGCCTCTTTTAAATAATCTCTGCTATAGTAAAAACACATATTAGCTTCTTTTGAATAATCTCTTCAAGAGTAAAACACATTTTTGCCTCTTTTGAATAATCTGTTCTATAGTAAAGACACATAGCCTCTTATGAATAATCTCTGCTATAGTAAAAACACATTATTTTCATTTAACAAAAAACAATACTATTATAAAATCAAATAAATAGTCATTCCTATAGTAAAACCTTTAGAGCATTTTGAGTAAATGGCCATTACTTTAGCAAAACATATAAAAAGATTTTTTTTAATAAGAAAAAATCAATAGAAAAGAGTGAAATATTACAATGCAATTCTGATAAATTACCACTCAGTGAATTTATGATAAATACATAATTATGGTCCATCTAGTTTTTACCTGTCATCTCATTAATTACTTTTCCTCATCTACATTCTTTATTTACTCTCTCATTATATATCTCTCTTCATTTACCTGGCCACCATCTCATTATTTAATTCTGCTTATTTACCTGTCATTTCATTCCCTACCTGTGCTTGGTGATTATCTGTGCAAAATGTCAGCGATGCCAACAAAATCATCCATTTGGTCAGCAGCATTTGAAGACTTTGATAATTTCTTCTTTGGAGCAGCAGCATTTGGATTCTTGAGGAATTCTTCAAGATCTTTGATTAAATTCTGTGGAGATTTACGAAGTTGGTTTTCCACATCTGCAAATGATGACCAAATATTACTAAGGGAAGGTAATTTAATATTACTAAGGGGAGGTAATTAAGGAGGATTAACATACACCACTTGGTGGTGTTGCATAAGCAAAGATAATTCTAAATGACGTCACACATTATGAAATGGACAAAGTCTGACAATTATTTTAAGACATCTTTTATGATTATACGTTCTTTTTATAGATACAAATATTTAAGTAAATGCTCTGTTTATAATAAACAGTATTAACAACATTTACTGGCCTGAATGTCTGAGAAATTTTCATAGAAAATATGCATCATCAGACAGGAATCAAACCTGTATCCTATATGGAACCGTCATATAGCCTGATGTGCTTTTACCGATTGAGCCACGGAGGAGTATTTCGGTTAGCAAGGTCGATTTTACTGTTTTTAAACTACAATTCTCCATGATTTTCTTGCATACATTCATATCTGCTCAACATGTATCCAAATGTAAACAAATGATGTCACACATTATGAAATGGACAATGTCCGACAATTATTTTAAGACATTTTTTATGATTATACGTTCTTTTTATAGATACAAATATTTAAGTAAATGCTCTGTTTATAATAAACAGTATTAACAACATTTATCAGCCTGAATGTCCGAGAAATTTTCATAGAAAATATGCGTTCTCTGACAGGAATCGAACCTGTATCCTATCCTGACGATATAGTGCATTTACTTAAATATTTGTATCTATAAATACCCTTTAGTATTTTAAGATATTTTTGTGTAATTTTGGTAAATATATCTGTTAAAATGAGATGTCAATGTTATTTGCATTTTGTGTAATTTAGATGACAATTGATTTATCACACCTGTGTATATATATATATATATATATATATATATATATATATATATATATATAGGCATGTGCTATTGAAGACTACAAAACTTTTTTCATTTAATAATCTTTATTTTGATTTTTTTTTTTTTTGCTTTCTCGCAAGTTTCTTTGTATTTGGGTCTAAGTCATTGAAAAAAGTCCACAGTCTTTGGTGTGTTGCTGAGTGATTTCGGTTGTCATCAACTGTCATCATAGTTGTATGTTTTTAATTTTAAGTAGATTGATTTTGATTTTTATAGGTAATATTTTGGGGCATTCAGACTGAGTTGTTGGATTAGTTTGTTAGTGATTTAGGAGGGGGTTGGTATTTATTATCTGGAGGATTAGTTATTAAAAATATTTCAGATGTTTCTGCTAGTATAAAATCTTGTTTTATTTATATTGGGTTTTTATTTTAATTGTGATGGCTTTGAGAATTTATAAGCATTTTTTTCATTTCTTTTTGTAGATGATTTTGGTATTGCTGATTAGAATTTTTCTTATTTCAGAGGATTTGAAACTCTTATTAGTGGTACAGTGTGTTGTCATAAGGTGATATTTTATGGAGCTGGTGTAATTAAGATGCTATATAAAATGACATGAGAAAATTGTGGTTGTGGATCCAATGTATGTGCTAAGGTTATGCGAGAAGCATTCTTGAAACAAGCAGTTTAGACTCAAATACAAAGAAACTTGTGAGAAAGCAAGAAAATTGGTTCAAAAAAGGGTTCAAATATGGAGAATTTTCTGGCCACTTCATTTTTCGAGGTCCATCTAAGCCTAACTGTTTCAAATATTCAGTAGTCTTGTGAGCAGCATGTGAGGGAGCATTATCTTGCATAAAAATAATGGCCCTTCTGAAGGCAACTCTTTGCCTTTTCATCCACGATTCAAGATGCTCCTTCATAAATGCTATGTATGCATCAGCAGTCATTTTGACACCATCTGGCCTCTCCATGGGCCCACTAATGTTTTTCCAATAATACCACCCCAGATCATTATGCCTCCACCGCATTGTTGGCGTCTCAAACGCTGATAGCGATTCTGTCCGTTCATTACCCAGACTTTGCACCATCTATCTGGCCCATCAAGTGTTGCTTGTGTTTCGCCTGTGAACAAAACTTTAGAGAAGTCAATCTTCATATTGTCCTCGGCTCATTTCAATCGATTTTGAATGTGATTTCTCGTCAACAGAGACTTCGATACAGGTTTGACTGTTGTTGCTATTTCCCTCAGATACCGACACCAAGTACTTTTAGACACAGTAGGATCCCCAATGCGACTGAAAAGCTCTTGACTGGTAAGTCCAGGGTTCTTCGTGGCCTCTTGTTTAAGTCATGAAATGAGACGTGAAATAACCCTCGGCTTGCCTTTATCTGCCCTTTTGCGTACTTGTGTAGAGTCGGCAGTGAACTTTTTCACTGTTTGATGACACCACCCTATCATTTTGGAAATTTCTAGGCTAGATTTACCTTTTGAGAGTTCTGGGGTGATAGTTTTCTTTTCAGCATCACTTAAACTGCTTTTATGGCCCATCTTTTCACTAAATTCTTACACTTTTTTAATAATTTGGCACGCTCAAATCACCGTACTGATAACAAATATGGTGCCAGTTTGTTTACATTGCGCAGATCAGTACGATAATTTCAGTAATTGCGCAGGTCAGTGTTGCCAACATTGTGTGAAAATTTTGTGTGAATTGATTGAACAGTTTTTGAAATATTAGAAAAAGTTATCTCGATAATAATTTGGCACGCATATATATATATATATATATATATATATATATATATATATATATATATATATATATATATTTTGTTGGTGATTCTGCTATATGTTTAGAAATTCTCAGTAAAATTCAAAGAACAATCTGCAATGTTATCAGTTCTAAACTGGCATCACATTTTCACTGAGTTTCCCACCATGGGAACATAAATCCCCAGTACCTTTTCTATAAATATTTTCATGATAATTGTTCTGATGAGCTTTTCTCTGTGATAACACAACAACAAAGTCTTGTCATTTTACAATTGAAATGGTGAGATGTAAGCATAAGTTCAGTTTATAACTCTTGAAACTCTCACTTATGGAACTCTCTTCTGGCTTCTTGCTTTCCAGTCAATTTTGATCTACAATAATTTAAATGCAATGTCAATTGTTATCTTGTCTTCTTAATTCTTGTTCTTTTATTGTCCTCACTCATTAATAGTAGTTTTTCTCATATTCTCTAACACTAAGTAACCCCTTGCATCCTAGTGGCTTTATTGCCTTTGATCTACAATAATTTAAATGCAATGTCAATCTTTATCTTCTGTCTTTTTAATTCCAGTTCTTTTATTGTCCTCTCTCATTAATAGTAGTTTTTCTCATATTCTCTAACACTAAGTAACCCCTTGCATCTTAGTGGCTTTATTGCCTTTGATCTTTCAAAATTTAAATGCAATACCAAACCTTATCTTTTGTCTTCTTAATTCCAGTTCTTTTATTGTCCTCTCTCATTAATAGTAGATTTTCTCATATTTTCTAACCCCATGCATCCTACTGGCTTTATTGCCTTTGATCTTCAAAAATTTGAATGCAATGTCAATCGTTATCTTGTCTTCTTAATTCTTGTTCTTTTGTTGTCCTCTCTTATTAATAGTAGTTTTAACACTCAGTGACCTCCTTGCATCTTAGTAATTTTATTGCCTTGCTTGGTTTGAAATGATTGAAAAAAAAAATGGATAAAATGACACAAGACAATGACAGCAAGAAGAAAAGACAGCATCCTTGTCTGTCTGTGTCTCAAGTTCAAATGCAGCTGGTGTTAAAATATAATAATGATTATTATTTTATTTCTATTGCCTAAATATACAGTCACAATGTATGTAATGATCCTTAAAGTGAAAGACAGTTGTAATGGATTTGTTTAAGAAATCCTTTCCAGGATATCATGGGATGCATAAACAGTTAATAAACAATTTGGTGACTGTCAGTCTTAAGGGAAAATAAATTTGAGACCAGGACATTTTGTTGCTGGTGCTAGCATAACATCTATTTTACTAAATAAGATTTGTTATGAGAAATCGACATTTATCCATGCAGTATGACTCTGCCTCGCATGTCACTAATGTTGTTCAAAGAAATGGTTCATACTGCTTGTCATCATATTAGTAACTAGAATGAGGTTGGATGCAATCTCAGACTGCCTTTTGGACACCAGATTTCATTCTAGGATTTTACTCTCAAAGCTTTTACCATGATTAGGTATTACCGCAAGACAGCAGAGTTTCCCTTCTCTTAGATTGACTGCCCTTCCAGGATAGCTACCCAATTCCTAATAATTATAGTAATAATGATAATAACCATAAATGCCAATGAAAATAAAATATCCATATAAACTCCGCTATTTTGGCAGACGTGATAAGACAGAACCTGGGACGAGCACAACTGGTTGTGACTTGACTTGTCCCCGCCAAAAAAGAGCCTGTATTTGCTTAGCATATAAAGCTACTGCAGTTGAAATGAGGGAGAAAAAAGCACTTACCGCTCTGCCGTAATCCGTCCTCGGCCAGATAACGTAAAAGAATGAGGGGGGACTTGCATTGCATTTTTATGCAATAAAGATGCAATGCATTATGGGACATGGATGCAATGAATTATGTGATCGTATGAAGACACAAGGGATTATGGGTATATGGACAAATATAAAAGCAACTAATTTTTCCCAGTGAGGGGTGCTTTGAGTGACATTCACGGTTGGTGGCTAGAAAAGTCTGTTGGTGCGATTTTGAGACAGAACTCAAGAAGGAACGACTCGAGGTTGGAATACCAGTTGGGAGAGCTTGAATTTACTCGCTGGTTGCTGTTTTCTTTTTATTCGCCACAGGTATAGCATCTTATTTGAGCTTAACAATTTTAACAAAATATTGCAATAACAATCATGAAAAATTTGAAATTGACAACTTTTTCTATTTCACTGCAACAGACTTTAAACACTTCTATCTTCCCTTCTTTCTTTCTTTCTTTCTTTCATTTTCTTACTGAAACCAAGTAGCGTCTCCAATATATCTTTTCTCTCTTTCCACACTATTGAAATGGAATAGTTCATTATTTACGAAATATTGGCAGGTGACATTAAACACTTTTATCTTCCCTTTTTCCTTTCTTTCATTGAAACCATATAGCATCTCTGATATGCCTTTTCCAGAAATCAAAACAGAATAGTCCATTATTTATGAGGTATTGGCAGGGTGTAACAGTCATGCAAACTAATGAAATAACTAACGAAAAGTGGGACAAGCAGGATAATAATAATAATAATAATAATAATGGTTGTGCAAGTAACATAATAGTTATCTTAAATGGAAAATGAAAATGGCAAACCAAGTTCAAATTCAAGCCGAGTTCATTGCATTCATTTTCAGATAAATGCTCTTAAGAAATGAATCCATCTCTTCTTTCCCCTCCCAGCTATGGGTTAAATAGCAGGGTAGATTGAGCTATCAAATCTTTGGCAACAGTAAGTTGAGAAAGACTATTCTAATTTAAAAGGATGTAGAAAGTAATGGAAAATCACTGCACTATCTTTCCCAAGTGGTTATGGCAATTCCCAGATGATAAAGAAAAGGAATCTATGGAGAACCATGATCACCTACATCCAGAAGGGACATGGGATTTTAAACAAAGGAAGAAAAAAAAATCATTCAATGAAAATGTCTGCTTGCAGACTATTTGAATTCTGAAATCTTCTCCAGAATAGCATCAAATTGGGATTTACATTTTAATTTTTATTTCCATGATAATTATATAAAATATTAATTATCCAGATTATTACCACATACATCTAAATGCATTTGAGAATTATAAAAATCTTAATCCATCAAAGATGATCCCAAAAGTCATTTGCCAACACAGATATTATCAGATAAGCTTGTTAACTTCATCCCAAAAAGTAGATTTACAAATGAACTCTTACCTTTGAGGACAAAACCTGAATCCACAATGGTCTTATTTTGGTTTTTCCAAATATGGTAAACTTTGTAGTAACTGGCAACAAATGCGTCATTGACAATAGAGACCAAATCTTCTCGTTTGTTACACAACCTGCAAATTAATTAGGATTTTAATTACTTTTACATTGTTCATAAGAGGTGTTTTAGGGTTGTAATAATTTTTCATGACGTGTTTTGTCCTTTAGGATTTCATCGGACTAACGTGATGTTTATGTTGATGTGATTACACATGTGCATGAATGAGAGGGGATTCTGAAATTTTAAATTAATGTTTTTTTTTTTTATATGTGTTTTGGGTATGTAGTCTAGCTAATTTTATCTTGATTCTTTTTCTTTTTGTTGATGTTTTTTTATCTCTTTTAAGTATCCCACATTGTGATAATAGAAGATCTGCCAAGAAAGGTGAAATGTAAAAACCTGGACGTAAATTTACTGTGGATGATCGAGCAATTAAAGCACTTCCTATACACTTTCATCTAAATAAATTGCTTTCTCTTTTAATTAAAGTAGTATTTTTAAATCAAAATTATGATCAGACTCATTACAATGAGCAACTAATGTATTGAATGTGTTGCTTTTAAAAGATCCTTTTTGTGCTCATATAATCTTTTATTTCAATTCCTTGAGGTTTCTCCTATATATTCCTTTGGCAATTATTACAGGTGATAGAGTAAATTCCTCCAAGTTTTACCTTATTATTTTCTTTTGTATTAATTAAGTCTTTTATTGTTTTAGAAGTAGTTGTAACAAATTTTATGTTAAGCTGAGACAGATTCTTTTCAATTGTAAGTTGTGATAGAGTTGGTGGGAAGAAAAATATTTGTTTTCTCATAGATTTCCCTAAAATTGTTCTTGATATATAAAAATTTATATATCATTTTTCCATATAATTATCTCAACCATTAAAGAGTTTTAAGATTAAAGTTACTTTACAAAACATCCTTGATGGTTATCAATTTAAGAAACAGAAAGTGTATGGTTAATTTTATTGATATATTGCATGTGTAGTGATAGAAAAATAAAAAGTTCACCATTTCAAAAAATAAAAAAATAGAAAACTAAAAGTTGGCAAACCATTTTGCTTTGCCATAAAGAAATAAAAATGAAAAGAAGAAAAAAAATAAAGAAATAAATACAAAAAGCTAGAAGTTTATCATTGCTAAACATAAGTGAAGAAAAAGAGATGGTCAAATGAGTCACATTTGGGAACCAATCAGAAATGGATGAATTACTTTGTAGCCTGTATATATTTCTGAGATGAGGTATTATGTACACTATTTACATTATTTGGACTATTGTCCTCATCTTCGTCGCCATATTTATTACATCGTTTCGGCCCTTCAGTATCTGTCTATATTTCTGAGATGAGGTATTATGTACATTATTTACATTATTCGGACTATTGTCCTCATCTTCGTCGCCATATTCATCACAACGTTTTGTGCCATGTGTCCCCAAGGACACATGGCACAGTGGATAAAGGCGTTGGGTAGATCCAGTGACAGGACCCAAAGAGTGTGAGTTCAATACCTGGCTAAGGCAGTGGAGAACTTTCAGGGGGAAATTAACAGGTGATAACTGATAAATGACATCCATCAAACATGGCATGTGAAACGGTTTACCCCAGTTAGCGAAATAAAGGGTTCAGTTCGACATTCCAACCACCTGAAGAAGGCCGGAGTGTACAATGGCCGAAACGTTGTGATGAATATGGCAACGAAGATGAGGAAAATATTCCAATTCTGGATGAATTACTTTGTCTCAAAAAAAGTAAAAAACACACTGATGACCAGGCAAAGGCAAACAGAGAGTTGATGAAATATTTCGTCCGATCTCCCATGCCTAAATTTTCGGACACCGATAATAGTTGGCCACATGTAATTGAGGATACCCATCTACTAGGGCAGCTAGCCAATCCCTATTGCAGACACTCACTCAGGCACATTTGTGTTTGTTCAACACACACAAAGCCCACCTGTGGTTTATTCTGCAACTATGCTGAGCAGACCTTAGTTACAGTTTCTGAGAGAGAGCAACAATTTGAACAAGGCCAGCATGCTCAAGCCCTCGGCCACGATGACTTGTGGTTTTGTGCCAGCATAGCTATCGACGGCCTCCAGGAGTCCGTCTACCCAGTTTCACTCACAAGGCTTAGGTCAAACCATGGTATGGTTTTCAGGCACTTTCCAAAGGTGCCACATGCTGGGATTGACCTTGATCAAGTCTAATAACATCAATAACTCTCCTTCCTGACAAATTGACCATCATGAGATTCAAACCCAGGTCTCATGGTCAGAAAGCGAACGTTCTAACCACTTAGCCAAGACATACTTACAGATGTACATACAGATTTATAAGGACTCTCTTTTGCCTACCTATTATATACTAAAAGACTTTAGACATTCAACACAAGAACTTTCTGAGATGAATGTATAAACGCTTTGAATATTTTAAATTTTATTTTAAGAGATATAAAATTTTATCAGTACATGCAAAATATATCTTGGTACTAATTATCTTTGTATGGATTTTTCAAAGGCCAAAAATTGGTGTATATTTGGATTAAAGGCATTATCCGAAGATAATCACCTGTAAGCAATACACACCACTGCCATGCAGACCGCCACATATGTGCCCAAAAGTTCTCAGCACACTCTTTATTGAAATCTTGAGATTGAATACACAGTTGTTTGTTTGAAAACTTCTGTTTATTATTTATTTAATTGATATAATATAACAAACTCGTTAACCAATACACTACATGTACATTTTCAGAAAGTGTAGAGTAGGACCTGAAAATGAACCTGATGCAGACTTATCCACCCAGGGACGGCTATAAGAAAATTTCTAATATGTTGGTGTAAAAGTAAAGATGGGAATTTGAACTTATTATTTGTGCCAATAATTTTTACACAACTTGAACATTCTGGTAAAATGAATATGGTGTGATTACAAGAAGAATAAAGATTATGTTAATAAGTTATCTGCTGATTTCTGGTGTGATCTTTTAAAATAAGGTGTAAATATTCCCATTTGAAACATAGACAGTTTTGCCAGTTGTCATATTCACAAAAAGTGCACAGAGAGGACAGGGAAATGAACCTGATTGAGACATCTGTCCAAGGAAGGTTATAAGAAAATTTCCAAACTGTTTGATATGATCCGAGGTGAAAGGTATGGTGTATGAAGTGTGAAATGAAAGTGTGAAAAAGTACTATGCTTAACCCAGCTGACTGCTTGTTGGCTATCAGTTTGGACTTGTCACATCGATCGTAGAGCCCATTCTCTTTCTGTGTTTACAGGAAGTCATTTTCACAGCCTAATGGTCAGACAGGCAGTCAGCCGTGCTCTCGGGTAGTTTCTATGGTTAGCATGTGTGTGTAGTTTCTCTCTGCTCTCTCTCAGCTGTCTGGATTCTCTTATACTCTACAGAAGGGAAATGCACGGACGTAGTTGTAGAGATCTGTGGCAAGTGAGAGTTGCATTGATAATGGCCAACACTCTGGTGTATTTGTGTTTGTTTCAAAATTTGTTTTTAGTAGAGTGAGGCATGTGAGACTTAGCTAGATGAAAATTGGCATATAGTTAGAGATATATGTTTTCTAATGATTGTATAAATTTGGTTTTAATTTGTTATCTCTTTGTTTAAATTGTGTTTTTCTGCTACAAAGTTAGTATGAACATTTATATCACACCAACCATCACAGTCTTGCATCAATGTTGGAATGTCATTAAGAAGGAATTCTGTGTCATTGCTGGTCAATGGGGGTGGTTGCTGGGTGACTAGCCCATCTTGTGCCATGGTTAGGTGTCCAAAACAGTAGATCACTCGTAAGTTCTTGTTTTTCTCACCAGCAGTGTCCTGCAAAGCAGATTCTGTGTTTGTGTAAGATTGCATAAATATCAGGGATGGGTCCATAGAACTTAGTTCTAGTCTTAGTTGGATGTTGTCTTCAAGAGATGTTAAGTATAGATTTATAGAATCCAGAGCCTTTATTTTTCTCAAAACTTCAAGAATTGAACAAAACATAGGCTCCAAATTAAATTACCCAACTAATGTAAATTTATTGGTTCAAAAATATCACATGGCATGTCATCAACTACATCTGCACGTCTGACCTTAATTTGACCTGATGAAAGGTACAACTGCACCAAAATTTTAAAATGTTTTCTGGAGCCTATCACATGACTTATATTGCTTGTATAAACAAAAAAATATTAAGAAACAGAGAGGGGGAGAAAAATCAACCCAAAAATTTACACGCTATGTGATGACACATATCATAAAATAACTTTCAACTATAAGTTAAAAACCCTTTTTTAACTTAACCACAGTCTATTTCCTTCATTCAATGCAACCTAAACTCATGTCAGCAAACAACGAAGTGACAGACACTCAAACATCAAAAACAACATAAGTCACACCCACACATGCTTTTTCCACAAGAATACAAACAATATTACATTGAACTAAAATTTTCGAAATTCACACAAATTACCCTACAACTTGCAGTCTATCAAACTGGAACATTACCTCACACGTAATCTGAAAAAACAAGTTTATTTCACCATTTTAAACAACATTCATAACTATTGTTTTGTACATTTGTGATGTAAAAATCTGTTTATTTGTACAATTTCTCTTTTCTGAATTTTCTTGTTTCTTCTTCTTGTTATTTTGTGGTATTGTGTCTAATATAAAATAGTGAAGGTAATTAACCCCCACATCTCTCAGCATCCGAGTGTAGGTCACATGAAGCTTAGACTCTAGGTGGGTTTAGTTAATGTCCAGGCAGTGGCATCAGATGTTAACGCCACCTCTACAGTGGCTTGAAAGAATCTCTGCTTGAAGTTGTCTGGTAGATCAGATTTCCAGACGTCTAATAAAACTGTTTTAATTTTGATTACTTTGCAATTTGTGAATGTTTTTTTGGAATAAAATCTTTAATTTTAAAGGAGACAATATTCTCCTATAATATTTTGAAACAAATTCCATTTTCGCCATAAAATCCTATTTGAAACATTTTTCCAGGATAACACCTACCTGTTTAGTTTGTCTTCTCTCAGGCTCTGTAAAACAAGCTTGGAGAGGTTCAAGCCCATCACACAAAACGGAAAATTCTGAATAGATAAAACAAAAGTAAATATAAAAGAAAGATTTAAATAAAATCAAGTTCCTTAAAAAAAAAATTGACAGGAATGATGAAAAATAACTAACCAATATTAGTATGTAGTGACTCATAAATAAGATGCAGGAGTTGCACCCCTTGTCATGTTAGGTTATAGTAAAGGAAGGGAAGTAGAATTTCCATGATGCACTAGAAAATACAAAATTTCTCTTACTCTGACCACTAACTGTTGGATCAGAAATATGTTTTCTTAAATGAGCTCACTAGAAAGATGTCTTTTCATACAGGTAAACCTAAGACAATTTCTTTCTTTGACATACAGATCAATATATATATATGTTCTGTGAATACTATGAATCAATTATGTAAGCAATTTTATGTTTAATCAAAAATCTATCATTTAATAAATGTTATATCTTGTTGTATGTACACCAAAAACTGTTCATATTTTATTTCATGTTTTCATGTAATATTTCACATGGATATTTATTTTAACATATTGTGGATGGAGGATATAATCCCAGATAAAAATAATGAAACTAAAACTCATATCATTTGCATCCACACAACAAGAATTATTTACACTATTTACATTCAGACTATTTTTTTCTTTTTAATCATTTCACCCCAAGCAACGCAATAAAGTTACATGAGTGTTAGAGAATATGAAAAAAAAATACAATTAAGGAGAGAGAACAATTAAAAGAAGAGGAATTAAGAAGACAGAAGATAATGATTTTTGAAGATTGAAGTTGACTGGGAAGCAAGAAACCAGAAGAGAGTTACACAAACAAGAAGTGCAAGTAAAGAAACTGTTAGCATAGAACTTATGGTTACATCTAGCAGCCATTTCAACTGTAAAATGATGAGACCTTGACACTAGTCTAGTACTGCACTTCATAAAGTCTGGCTACCATAGTGGAACAATTAAGAACAAATGTCATGAAAATATTTATAGAAAAGGCAAAGGGATGCTATGTTAAGGCAGTGGGGAAAGTGAGTGGAGCTGAGATGCCAGGTCAGGACCAATAATATTGCAGATTCTTCTATATTTAGCAAGAGCACCAGACCATATAAAAGCAGCAGTATTCAAAGCAAGGACGAATGATAGACTTATAAATAAATGCCATGAAAATATTTATAGAAAAGGCAAAGGGATGCTATGTTAGGTCAGGACCAATAATAATCTTCTTTATATATTGCAGACCATGGGGAATAAATGCCATATAAATATTTATAGAAAAGGCAAGGGATGCTATGTTAAGGCAGTGGGAAAGTGAGTGGAACTTCTTTATATAAAAGAGCACCAGACCATATAAGCAGCAGTATTCAAAGCAGGACGGATAGACTTAGATGCCAGGTCAGGACCAATAATATTGCAGATTCTTCTTTATATAGCAAGAGCACCAGACCATATAAAAGCAGCAGTATTCAAAGCAAGGACGAATGATAGACTTATAAATAAATGCCATGAAAATATTTATAGAAAAGGCAAAGGGATGCTATGTTAAGGCAGTGGGGAAAGTGAGTGGAACCGAGATGCCAGGTCAGGACCAATAATATTGCAGATTCTTCTTTATATAGCAAGAGCACCAGACCATATAAAAGCAGCAGTATTCAAAGCAAGGACGAATGATAGACTTATAAATATGTAAGAAAAATTGTCTAACACGACACAGGGAACCAACTTTCCTAGCAGCAGACCTCACAGTTGAGTCAATATAATCTTCTACTTGATGTTAGGGGAGAACATTAGTTTGAGAAGGTGCAATGAGTCACTCTCATGGAGGTTAGCATCAGCCATACTGATGGAAGACAGAAAGGCGGTCTCACAGATGATTAAAAGAGAGAAGTTTCATTTTAGAGACATTCCTCATCTTTCTTGTTGTTATCCCAACATTTCAACCTTTATGCCCTCCAGCTTTCATCAGGTGTATATCAACCTGGGTAACCTACAGGGAATTCTGTGTTGTTCAGGATGACGGTCGTCTTTGAGTATAGAATCCAGAGGTTAGCAGTGAATATTTCGAAGACAGTAGGGAAGCTTAGTTCAGGTTAGCAGTGGATATCCTGGTAAAAGTAGCAGAGCGTAGGTCTTCCTTCTGTTCCTCTTTGCCTGACAAGCTGGCACTGGACATTCGGATAGAGTAAACAAAATGGCCGCCTTTATACACGACGAATATTCTACATCTTCTGATTGGTTAACCTTCTATTGGTGGACTATAAAGTGAGTCAAGTCATTTGGGCTAGCTCACGAGTTACCTATTATACACAAAAAACTGCAAGATTCTGAACTAAACCATTTATTTAATCAATGGCGGTAGAGAGTTTTCATTCTAGTGCCCATGTCTTGGGAAATCATCTAGTACCTATTTTTAGTACTGCTTACACTGTTTCCACTAAGTCTGAGTATAAGCTGAACTCACAACCAAATTCACCAACCAATGCTTTAGTCTACTAGGCTGTTGTCTCTGTGGAGAACTTGGACCCTTAATATTAGCTTTTAACAATTTTTCTTTCATCTTAATTTTACTTGCTTTTTATTGCAATTATTTATACACTTGGTTTACAACATGAGCTGAAAATAAAAAAAATCAGCTCTTGTATGCTTTTTGGATAAGCCTTATTAGCTATACCAGCTGTTCTGTTGATTGAGCTACAAGGATTCTTACAGCTGGCAGAAAATCAAAAAATAGAATTTAAAAAAGGCATGTATAACTTACCTGTGTCTTGTGTTGAGAAAGTTTATAGATTTGCTTTTTCAAGGTTTCTAGTTCAGGTTTTGAAGTGAAATAAAGCAATTGCAGAACACCAAAAATCCCAACACCTCTTAGATCAGTTGATGGATCATTACCTGACAGAAATAAAAAAAAAAAAAGGTTGGAGGTGAGAAAGGATTTGGTGATAAGGCTTTCACATTTAAGGTCATAAAACTACAATTGTGTTCCCAGATGATTTGTCTGACATAAAATATGGATTTTGGAAAGATTGGTTTGGTTTGTTTTGTTTTACAGCATATCAACCTCAATGGGTTATTTAATACCGACAAAATTTTTATTGCTGGTAATATATTTTTCTTCAAAAACCTATTTCTGGGAATATTTTTCCTTGAAGAAATCTATAGCTGGTCATATTTTTTACAAAGAATATATAGCTGTTTGTATTGCTGGTATTTTTTTAAAGTATTGCCAATAATAATTTTTCCTTCAAAAATTATTGCTGGTAATAATCATTTTTTATTACAAAGTATTTCTGGTATTAAAAACTATTTTTACACAAGTTTGGGTGTTAACTATTTTCCCATAGCTAGGACCCTAACAGGTGCTACCACCCTGGGTCAGGGAGGACCTGAGAACAACAGTAGTTAAGAGGTGGTTCCATGCTCCTCAAAACCTCCTGATCAGAGGCCTTGCTGCTGGACGTAGTTTATCATCTTACCCAGGACGCAGATGTAATTTATCGTCATACCCAGGATGGAGGATTTTGGAAAGAGTGTTGGTGGCACAGCTCCTAGTCAGACAAAAAGCAGCGACAAACAAAATTACACTTTAAATGACAAGTGTAAGGAAATGGAATAAATTGCAACAGAAGATATTTTTTTGTATTTATATAACTGAGTAACGAAGGAGAGAAAATACAGAAGTATGCATACAAAAAAAAAACATTAAAATTTAGAAATTATGGATTGTGTGCATGATACACACATATGTGCGAGTGTGTGATGGTTAAGGGGAAAGATATCTCAATGCCTGGGACAAGGTCCCAACAGTGAAGTCACTACAGCATGCTGGAAGGAAAAGAGAAAAACGAACAAGAAGACAGGAAGTGTCACATTTTTTATAACAGTTTAACAGCAACACCTAATAGTGTCCTAGCAAAGCTAAATGGAGGTAACCCACAACTGAAAGACTAATATCAAAGCAACCCTCACCCAAATATATATATATATATATATATATATATATATATATGATTTAAGTTTCACATAGATTGTTCATCTGTCAAACTCTCTGCCTCAAGCGGAGAGTAGCCTGGAATGGCAAAGTTTCGTCTGGGGAGGTAGACAGGCCCTGAACCTGTTATTGCAAGTTCTAAGGGAATATTTTTGGCCGAATCCACGGTAAACTCAGCCTTGTGCCACATCCATCCATCGTTGGGGGGGGGGGGGTAGGCTGTTAAATATAAGAGTAAATATAAATGTAAGTTAAAGTTTTTTCAAAATTGTCATATATTTGCCATATTCATCAATATGGATGCGTGGCTGAGTGGTTAGAACATTTGCTTTTTGACCATGAGACTCGGGTTGAAATCGCACTATGGTCGATTTGTCAGGAAGACATCTTCCTGATGTTATCCGACTGGGGTCTATCCCAGCATGTGGCACCTTTGGAAAGCGCCTGGAAAACATACCACAGGTTGACCCAAGTCTTGTGAGTGAAATTGGGTAGATGGAACCCTTGGAGGCTGTCGATAGCTGTGCTAGCACAAAGCCACAAGTCATCATGGCTGAGGGCTTGAGTGTGAAATTTGAACAAGGCCAGCATACTCCAGCTAGACTTGTTCAAATTTGATCATGCTAGATAACACGCACTCTCCAAGAAACAGTAACTAAGGTCTGCTCAGCATAGTTGCAGTATAAATTACAGGTGGGCTCTGAGCAAATACAAACGTGCCTGAGCGAACGTCTGCAATAGGGAATGGCTAGCCGCTCTAGTAAACAGGTATCTTCGAATATGAGTGGCCAGCTATTAATATTATTATCATTATTATTAATATTCATCAATGTCAACTGAGTTACATAATTTTCTCAATTATCACTTGTCAAGACTTTCAAAAGTCCTGGTGAGTGATGACAGAAAATTTATGAAACTCATGTTGACATCAATAAGAATTGAACTTTGTTATATCAGATTCAATAATTATTGCTCTAGTCAAATATCGAGCACTTTATTGGCAGAAATTATGTTTACTTTAATATAAGTTATATAAATTATTATAAATTATATAATATTATGTGTATTAATAAGTAGAATTATTATTTTATATTTATTGTGCATACAGACAGACAGACATGCACACATTATATGTATAATCAATGAAACCCAAACAAATTACTTCATACAGATGGCCATTTCATCCATGGGAAAACCATTTCTGTAGACTTGTCAATGCAAATACATTTGTTAAAATGAATGAATTCCTATGTTTTTTCAAGACAAATTTGAAACGTAAAGGAAGGAAAGAAGGAAAGTGGAAAGAAGAAAAGAAGAGGGAGTAAGGAATAAAACAACATATAAGGAATAAGGGAGTTATAGAGACATTGATTGTAATTCATTTATAGGCTGTATAATAAAAATTATATTCAGCTCTCTTTTGTAGATCAATTTTAATATTTTATATTGATAAGATCTACTTGAATTACTTACCCACAGATTCTTTTATATATATATATATATATATATATATATATATATATATATATATATATTCATTAATTATTCATACAAAAACAAATACAAAGGTTAATGATTTAATTGGCGAGAAATCCATCGTCGCAAACAATTCAAATAATATACAAAAACCCCAAACCTGTTATGAATGAAAAGATCCTTGTTTTTATAAATTTCTGTTGCATTAGTTCTTATTTTTACTACAAGCTTTCGTCTGTTCCTACAGACATCTTCAGGTATGGAATAGATGTTGTTCTTGTTTTTACTCTCAGTAATAAGAGGACAACGAAAATATATGTATTGTTGTATCCGAAAATATATATTTCGTAAAATATATCTGTTGGATGCTTTAGTAGATATCATCAGTGATGTTTCAAGCTGAGGTTCATTAGAGGTTTTGGGTCTTTCAACATCATACCCCCTCTCCACAGTGACCCAACCGATATTGATTGGGTATCAACTTGTGTACCTTCTATCAGCTACAGTTTTTTCCATCTTCCAGCATGCAACTCTTCTTGGCAATTTATTGTCCAATCCCAGGTGACTTCTAGTTCACCAGCAGTGTGCGCTCTTCCATAAAAAAGGAAGGAAATACAGCCACGATTTCTCTCTGATCAGGAATATGGCAGTATGCTTAGCTTGAAGTGGTAAGTACAGGCTTGATTAACGCCCCCCCACCCTGAGACACATATACACACACGCGCACACACACACAACACATTCTGCTTACAATTATCCCCATTTTCATTAATGTTAGTCATCCAGTGGAGGAAAAGAAGATAAAAAAATTTTTTTTTAAATAAAAATAAATTAAAAAAAAAAAAATTATCACCTTTTCCTCCTTCCTGTTTTTTTTCCAGCCCTCCGCCTATATAAGTTACACTTACGCACATACATATCAATGCCACCACACACATGTGCACACACACACACACGCACAAACACAAAAAAAACATTAAATACCATAACCCTGGTAGGGGGGCACACAGGTGCTAGATCTTAGCTAGGGATCACCTGTAGGTAACAATAGTTTGGGGTACCCTAATTCTGTCCCCTAGTCAAGACTCCATTGTCAGATATAGTTTTAGGTCATACACACACAAAGTATCACACGTTGAGTGCTGGTAGTAATAAAACAGTGCTCGATGTACAATAACAGAGCTAACATTTATACTAATAATAAATATACATTTTGTTCTTCACTGGTAGCACAAGTCTGAGATTCATGTATGATGCAATTATCAGGTGCGGATTGAAAACTATATATATATATATATATATATATATAAGTGAACATTGAAGTCAACATACAGAGGCGACAGGCTGTTTCATGCTGGACACAATCATCAGGCAGTGAATGCTGGATATTTCCTTGGCTATTTATATATGTGGGTCAGTGGTGCATTGTGGGTAATCTATTCTGGTGGTTAATTATGCAGAAGTGGCTTGTTTGTTTATTTATTTGTTTATTTGTTTCAGTTAATTTATTTTACTTTTTTCATTTTTATTTTGTATTATTTATTCTTTTCGTTTTTTGATGTTTTAGTAACGTAGTAAAAAGTTTGGTGGGGAGAGATTTGCTTAGGTCGCTTATTTAATAGTTTGTTTTGGTCTGGGAAGATAATTAAATCTATTTATTCGTCCAATGTTTAGTTTGCTTGCCGTAGTCTATTCTGTTATTTTGGCGGGTGGACAGTTTTTAATTTATTTATTTGGATTGATTATGTTTACTTGTTTTTGCTTATTTATGCTTATTTTTATTCGTTCTAACGGTTATTTTAGCGGGAACGATTTGTTAATTTGTTCATTTATTTATCTATTTGGATTAATTTTTATTAGTTTTTTTTATTGTGCACATTTTTATTTATTCTATTTGGTTTTCAATTTTTGTGTAATGTAGTGATGGTTTTTTTTTATCGATATATAGCAATTACAGCTATTTTTACATCCAATTTTTGGATTGGTTGTTGTAGTCTATTCTGACAGTTATTTGATGGGATTTACCAACATTTACCAGAGGATGCATATTTTCTATGAAAATTTCTAGGACATTCAGGCCAGTAAATGTTGTTAATACTGTTTATTATAAACAGAGCATTTACTTTAATATTTGTATCTATAAAAAGAACATGTAAACATAAAAAATGTCTTAAAATAATTGTCGGACTTTATCCATTTCATTATATATATATATATATATATATATATATATATATATATATATGTATATGTGTGTGTGTGTGTGTGTGTGTGTATATATATATATATATATATATATATATATATATTCCAGGTAAAAGAAATTTGGAAAATTCAAGAAATACTACATACCTTGAAAGCCAATTATTTCCCAGTGGCTTCCAAATCTTCTGCAATCAATTGCATCTCCTGTTAGATTTCGGTAAAGTGCCAACAAGGAACGAACATGAACAGTATTAAAATTGTCAAAAGTTGTAGCAGCCATACAGAAGGTCATTTCTTTGGATGGTAAAAGATTGTTCCGAAGTTTTGGTGGCCCAAAGAAAAAGTGAGTCCAAGCTGATATACCATGTCTTTCAACCGTCTGCTGAATTTTGGGCTAATAGATGATCATGAAAGCAACAAAAAATGTCATACTTCAGTTAACTTGAACATTTTAAGTGTTAATAGTTAATGAAAACAATGCAAAAGTTTACAAAGAAAATTTGGATAAAAAAAATTGCCCTTGAATACATGAAAACCAAACTTTGATTCAACACCATCACAAGGTTCATGTGACAGCTGGTGATTTACATAAGTTGCTATTTAGCATGCCAAGAGGAAAGATGTGTTTGCCCACACCAATTGCTATGTAGCCAACAGCAGTGAAAGTTTTCTGGCACCCTGGGCAAGCTGAACTTTGGCTTCTTTACAAGTATAATTTTTTTTTTTAATTTTCAAAAGGAGAAAAACTAAAAATGTAGAATAACAAATAACCTTTTTTCTAGTTTTTAGATCTGCAAATCTTTTCATGGCACTTTTGACATCTATCTTCTTAAGATCATTTTCTATTGACAAAATAGTCAAAGAATTTATTCTGTCTTCAGTCATGGATGACCACAACTATTTTTTTTTTTATAAGCTTTAGTTTTGGAAGATTACATGGTGACTTGATGGTGCCTTCAGCCTTGATGGTGTCCTGTGTGACTGCCAAGTTGCCAGTACCTTGAGCCAACCAGCAGAGAAGTAAGACACACTTGTGTCAACAGTTAATAGAACACAAAAAATCACATGGTTTCACCATGTACATAGAGGAGATCACTGGCCTGCCAGTTTTCTCATTGTTATCGACAAGCGTATGGTTGCAAGAAAGAAATACGACAACAGCAGAAATAGATTTACGTGGTTTATTTCAACAGGAACGTGTGGGTTTGGGACAGCTATCTTGTGGTAAAGTTCATAAGCTGGCTTCGGATCTAGGTCAATCTCTCATAGTAGTTCACAGATGTTGACGGTGGTTGACGCTCCCCTGCTGTCAGCAGCTGAACGTGACAGGTCTCTATCCTGGGCACCTGTGGACTGCCGTTGAACTTCCGTGTGATCCCTTTTATAGCGTTTTTTTTATGGCTTAACAGGCTCGAGAAACGAAGCGAGTATAATTAGGAGGGAAGCATTTTTATTGGACGAAAAATAGAGCACTTTAAATATTATTTTATTTTTCGACCGGAACACGTGTGTCGGGAACATTTGTAAAGAAAGATAATGGTCATTTTGTGACGGGGCTTTGTCCTGTTTATATCCGGTTCTCGCTCTTGTGTATTTGCCTGTAAATCAGCCGAGATATGTCTTATTTTATTTTATAATACCATCAAAAAATATTAGAAGTAAGACCCTCTCTCTGTTTGCCATTTTCATACTGCTTGTTGTATACATATGTTATAATTTCTCTGTTAGAGAAATTTGTTATATATATTTAGGCAGCAAATTCTCTTTTAGGCATGGCTGATTGAATAAATTACAGACATTATGTCTGCTAATTTTTAACCAAATCCATTCATACTCACGAATAGACTTCCGTTAAAGGATGAGAAAAATGTTCTATAGCTGTTTAAATTTCTTTTATTTTCATTTCCCAAGTACTTTTGATCTTTTTCCAAGATCATCTTCAGGTGTGCAAGTAGTACAAAACTACACAACAATAAAGCAACCATTAATGAGATTCCAAATTTTAAACCCGCAATCCAGGTACCCACAGACATGGAATTATGAATTTCTGAAATACAGGGTACAACATGAATACTGTCACAAAGAAAAAGCTTAAAACTCTTGAAGAATTTATTACAAGATCATAGAATTTTAACACAAAGTAAGTATAAATCTGCTAGATAACACCAGAAAATATCATTCAATATGGCTCCCTGTAGCCTTTACCACACATCAAAGACTTTCGGGAAAGTCATTGATGGTGGCATGCACAATTTCCATGGGTATTGTCCCATATGCTCTTTAATTTTGCTTTTGGACCTTCCATATTGAAGTGTAGAGTAAAAAAGAACTGCTCAGAAACAATTTTCAAGAGCTTTGATATCTGGTGATAAGGAAGACCATTCATCATTGTTGATGAAGCCAGGACAATTGTTTCTGCACCATTGCTGTGTTACATGAGCAGTATGGCTCATCACTCCATCTTGTTGAAGTGTCCAATACTTATTAGCATAAGTGGCATTGCACCACAGCTTGAGTGCACTTTCCAAGATGTCCTCTAGGTACATACCCTTGTTGATGTTTATCTCTTGAGGCATGAAAACAAGAGGAGACATTCCTTTTTTTCTGAAATGGTTGACCAAGTCATAACTGATGCGAGTTTCTGAGTTCTGAGACGTTTTCCTAAAGTGGCAGGAACTAACTAATGGCTTGTTGGAAGAACACAATCATTTTGATGATTAAAAGTCTGTTCAAGAGTAAACAGTTTCTAATCAGTGAAGATGATGTTTTGCAGCGTACCATCATGAATCCTTTTCAGCAGGTGTTTACTTCTTTGAAGCCTCTTTTTCATTTTATGGTTGCTGAAAGAAGCTGTCTCTTGGTTATCTTGTAGGGTGACATTCCTAGATCATCTTTATATAATCACTGTATGGTTCTTGCCAATGTTCTGGCCTCCTTAGGAAATTTTCTCATTGAGTTTCTTGGATTATGCCTGATTTTTTTCATGCACCTGTTTAATGGGTTTTGTGATTCTGGAGGTGTGAGGATGTCCTTATCTTGCTCTATCTTTGATGAAAGAAGTCTCATTGTATTAATCAATTGTCCTTTTGATAAACACTCTATTGATTCCAAGTTGTTTCTCAGCTCTAAAATCTCAGGTGGAGTCAGTCCGTTTTCATGTTGATCAATTATATACATTCTTTAAACAAAATGTTTTTTTTTGTATTTTTTTTTGCTATCCTCTGCCAGCCACAATGATGGAGAAAGCATTACCTTGCACCATCATCAGTGAGACACACTGCAAGAGCCACTCAATTCTATGAGGCTCACCCCTTAATCAAGACGCAATCCCGCCAACCCTCTGAAGGAACGCCATTGAATGAGGGCTAATAAATCCAGAAGTCTCCACTGCTACTGAAGTAAAAATAAATCTGTCTGCAAGAGAAGAATATTTAACTATTTTTCTAACCCTGCATCCTATGCAACAGACCCTGACTCAACCACAGACCTGATCAAATTACCAGTCAAAATTTATTGGCACAGGTCGCATCCCAAATCAACGACTTCCCCACTTTAAAAGGTAAAATGGTAATCCTATCCATCCACTTTTTGTCACATGGTTGAGGCCTATGGGTTCAATTTTGGAGGGGAACCCATTTGCATCCAGACCTCTTCTGATGTTGTTTATTATTGCTACATGCCTTTTAAATTAATCTTAATCTATGAGATACTGGAGTCATTATGTGGATAGATTGATCCAGAGTTTTCCACAGGTGAGTTGTATTTAATAGCTGTGCATGTAGAGAATTTAGTGAGATCTACAACTTATTCTTTACATGTTTCATGAGGGTTTAAATCAGGTAAGTGCAGTGGCCAGTAGTGTACCAGTTTTGTATTAATTGCACATTCATGGGGTGGAGTGGGTTATCCTGCTGGGACAAACCATCCCCACTGAGACACACACAGTGAGCATAAATGGGTCTAAGTTGTCTGCAACAAAATGCCATACCTATGAAGAGGATTTTTAACAAGTTTTACTTGTGGTCCTTTGTAGTGAACGAGAGCAGCCCGAATCTATTAAAGCGGTACGCGTTATTCCATTGATGCGTACCTTAATCACAGGGAGTGCCACTTTCATGCTCGGTGTGGGGAAGAGACCGGCGCTCCCTGTGATTAAGGTACGCATCAATGGAATAACGCGTACCGCTTTAATAGATTTGGGCTGCTCTAATAACACGTACCGCTTTAATAGATTCGGGCTGCTCTAATAACGCATACCGCTTTAATAGATTCGGGCTGCTCTAATAACGTGTACCGCTTTAATAGATTCGGGCTGCTCTCGTTCACTACATCCTTGTAAATTCCAACAGGTTTATTAACCCATCAACAGTTTATACAACATCATGCAGTCTCCTCCAAACATGAACTTCATCATCTGCCAAAGAAACTGGAAATGGGATTTCATCTGAACAGACAATATGATGTCGGTTTGTCATGCTTCAATAGAAATGTTCCCTGCCCAAGAGTGAGTCATAGGTAACCAGGTAGCCAATAATGGTCTATTTGCTGGGTGATGCCTACCTCTTAGAATGCAATGTACAGCACATTGACATGGGTCAGTATTGAAATGGTACATTTGTTGGGGGATTTTCTTACAATGATGTTCAGGGAAGCCACTCAAGGTAAAGAGTTATAGAGTAAGAGGCACAGTTTATAGGGATATGTGGGGAAGATAATGGTTAACCCTAGACTCAAACAGGTCAAGATTGTAGCAATCAGGGAAGCATCCAATGGAATGTACAATGCATTGACTTGGGATGTGATCTGATGCAATATTCTCCATCATTGGATGGTTAATATCCTCATCAGTTGTTTATATCACCTGAGGGTTCCCACAGTTTTCATATGCTCTGAAATTCAATTTTTTTTCCTGGTTTAGCCTTTTTACTGTTGCTCCCCGCTCACCAATAGAGCAACTGCCACTTTGAAGATAATATCTTTCTTATATCAACAAATGTGACCAAATGGTGCTAAATCCAATCCATGTCTCATGGTTGCCACAGTTACACTACTTCTTTACCTATTACATCACAAATATGTCATCCACCTGAGCCAAGTTTTACAATTGGAAGAAGGTGAAACAAACCAGTGTACTACTGTTTCTAATTTTTAACACCTTAATTTATAACAATATATAGGTCTTTGTTTAGTAGCTGATAAGTTGCAAGTAAACAAAAGGTGGGTTTATAAATCTAACCTGTGTCAACATTGTTGGTATTACAGATATGAGGCTGATGCTTAAGGGTCCTGTCAGAAACTTAAGGAGTCTCTATGTGGTTAGCAGTTGTTCAAAATGTTTCTTAAAAATTGCTATACTGAACAATGAACAAGTACACTGTTGTCCAAGATCAAGGGTCAGCAAAAATTTACTCAAAAGGAGATAAAAGCATTTAGTCATGAAAAATAAAAAAATAATTTAGACAAATTTCCTTTTGTACCTTTACATCAGACATATCAGCAGATTTGAAATATGTTAATGCTTCATCAAAACTGATGACAGGTTCTGATTTCAAAATGGCTGTTTCTGAAAATAAAAGAAGGAAACATATTGTTGGTAAAAGATTTGAAGAATATATTTCATCAAATTTACAAAGTGTTACAAATATTGATTGATAAGAATTATCAAATTCTTGATTGCCCTTGGATGAATTATTATGTCTATTTATGAAAGTTACCTAAGTCTGGCACAAAGTCATGGGTATGGAGTACTCAGGCAGAATCAAAATCACTATAGCAATAATGGCCTTGTTCTGAAGCTATTGTAACAACTTTTGCCTGAATTTCAAAATAAATAATTTTCATTAGTGTACACCAATTTACAATTTGACTAGAATCCTCATCTTTCTCATTATAGTTACAAGGTCTCGGCTGTTATATCATCCTTTTTTTAGATGTCAGTTATCGTTGATAACCTGGTAATTTTGAAAAGAACATTTATTCAATCTAATACAACACTTTAATTGAAGAGATTAATGGGGTGATTTCCTGTTTGCATTTTCCCATTATAGGCTTTATATCCATGATATAGTAACACCTTAATACATAGACAGAACAGAACTGCTGAAAGAAAGGAATGACAAACATATTTTGTTCTCAAAGATATTTTTATACCACTAAGTCATACACAAAATTATATAAAAACATTTAGTCTTATCCCACACAGGGAACCTATAACATGTGTATGCAACAACAAGTTGTGTAAAAATGGAAAAGATACAAAGGGTTTTATTTATAATAATTCCCAACAGGCATTCAAGCTGCTGTAGGATTCTTATATGTTTCTAGAGAAACCATATTTATATTTATCAATGTGAATTTGAACAGGCCAGATTTATCTTCTGTCTTTGGTGAGGACATATTTCCCCAACAGGAAAATGGAACTATTAGCTTGTATGCTGGCACAGGCAGACATCTTGCCACACCCCTCTTGACATCAGGCAGCTAAATAACCAACTGACAGTTTTTGTATCTATGAACTGATATCACTAAGCAGCCCTCACATAACCCATATGACTGCATCTCAACCAAAGGGAGACAACTGCATTTTGCATCACTACAAGGTTATTGCTTCATGAGACCTTCCTGTGACTAGAAACTGGAGCCTTAAACCTATTCTGATTGCTGCTGACATTGCTGCTGCATGTCATACTTGATCTTCTCTTTGCTTTCTGCTGCTGGTGAATGAAATAAAGGGTTCTGTTTGAAATTCCAATCACCTGAAGAAGGCCGGAGTGTAAACTGACCGAAATGTTGTGAATATGGCAAAGAAGATGAGCATATCAGTCTGAATAATGTAAATAATGCAATTAATCATAATACCACATCTCAGAGATATAGACAGATATATAGAGAGACATAGACATAAAGGCAGGAGTGTACAATGGCCAAAATGTTGTGAATATGGTAATGCAGATGAGGATAACAGTATGAATAATGTAAATAATGTAAGTAATCATAATACCTCATCTCAGAGATATAGACAAATGTTTCTAATTCTTTGATTGTTTTTCAATCATTCTGCCTCACCTGTTATCCTCTTCTGCTGCACCTATGCAGCATGTCACACCATTTGGGAACCACTGACCTAGTATGTACGTTATTTCAGGTGTCTAACTCTCCAGTGTTATTTCATTTTACAGTGATTGGTGACTACACTTTTCCTTCCATGCATGTTCAGCTATGCTTGATTACATTGTCTCCTAATTGTGGTTTTTTAATGTTCCACCAACCTTACTTTTAGGAAGCAGCTGGTTTTATCTTTGTATTCTTTCTCACAACTAAAAGGAAGGGAATACACACAATAACAGTAATCCCTGGGCAAAATAGTGCAGACTTAGACAAAGTGAATACTGGGTGAGCAATAACTGAGCAGTACGAAATAAAAACAAAACGCGATATCCCTAGACATGGACAATGGGATGAGAGCAACCTACTCTTGTAGATTGAATAATGGTTTTGGTTCAAAATTGATTGATAAGCATATGATGAAAGCCAAAGTGCATAATAACTGGAATGCTGAGATAACAATAACAAAGATAAGGACAACAGTTAGAGTGTAAATAATGTAAATAATAATTCCTCATCCCAGAAACTCAGATAGAAATTAGCTAAGTGTAACACCAAACAAAATGCAGATAGAGCAGCCAATCGCTACTGATAATGGTACCAGCCCCCATTGGTCAAAGAAATGATGTTTAGTGTGTTGTCTATATAGAAAGCACATGTCTGTTGTGAACCCCAGAATGTCAGAAAAAATGTGTTTACCAGCTTCCCCATAAGATAATCGGGGCAGTAAGATGAGTGGTGTCAGCTATGCAAATAATTCTTTTGCTAGTCAAATGCTAAAGTTTTAGGCTCCATAAAACAGGCACATTTCTGGGGAGAAGGTGAGTTTGGTAGTATGCCACATTGACCACACAATGGGATTTCTATTTGTTACCAAGGATTTTTGTTTGTGTTACCCAGCATCATTTCAAATCTGTTTGTCTTTGTGTTTCTGGTGTCTTGGCTCCATTCATCCCATACATGGGGTGTTCCTATGTGGAACTCTTGTCTGTGCCCTGCTCATTGTGATCCAATGTTTGATTCCGGTGCTGCTAAGTCTCCCATCCCTCTTTGTTGGCAGATCTCCTAACCAAAAAGAAAATCCCGTCAAGGACAATTGGCACAATGATATTTTCATGTAATACCAAGGATTTTTTTTTGTGTTACCCAGTGTCATTTTTCAAATTCATTCATCTTTATGTTCCAAGTGTCTCGTCTCTGTTCATCCCATACATGTGGTGTTCCTATGTAGAAGTCTTGTCTGTGCCCTGATCCAGTGTTTGATTCTGGTGCTGCTGAGTTTTCCATCTTTGTTGGCAGATCTCCTAACCAATAAGATGAAAATTCCTTCAAGGCCAAATGGCATTATTGATTGGCATCAGTCTTCAAGGTGGGGTACACTGAAAATCAACTTTTGAGTTCATGGCTTTTATCTGGGTTGAACACCTTATCATCAATGGCAAATATGCAATTAAGTAACCTTACAAGTAGATCAGGTATTATTTAAAGCACAAGACCTGAAAATATGGGGCACCCAATCATAAAACTCACTACAGTTGTAACAGTATACCTGACTATTTTGTTAACCATTACGTTGCAGTGGGGCCGTGGTGGTTGCCACTTGTTGAGGGTTCATGGCGTGGCTGTTGTTGTTGATAGAAGTCAGATGTAGAAGAAACGCAAGTAAGGTTCAGATACTCCTGCCCGCCGAGCCCAACTACATAAAAATGTTGGACTTTGATTAAGTCCAAAGAAGAAGGCAAAGAAAGCAAACAAAACACAAGACCGATAATATATGTATATACAAATATATATTAATAACAAGTTGCAATACTTGGAAACAGTACAAAGGATGGAGTGTGTGTGAATATTCTGTATGTGCGTGCGTGTGTGAATATCCTGTATGTGCGTGTGTGTGTGAATATTGTGCTTAGCGTGTTTCCACGCTATCCCTTGTTAGCGACTACATTTCGAGGTTGATAGCTGAAATCCTGAAGGAAAAAAAGAGTTTACCTCAAGGTGTCAGTGCACAGGCCTGAAGGAAAAAAAGAGATAGAGGCGAAGAGTCAGCGACTATTTATAGCCAGGGAAGAGAGACCCCTGGTGAAAGGGTTAACGGAGTGAAGGAGGAGTTAACTCCGACAACGTCATAAGTGATATGATCCCTTATGTTGCTATTGATTTAACAAAATTCAACTATTAGTGTCAAAACAACTGGTTCTGGGATGATATGAAAGGAGAGTTGGATTCATGCCTTTTTATATTAGAGTAGTCTAATAGCAGTCTTTTCATGTTAGAGCAGGAATTTGAAGTCAGTTCCCCAAATCCACTTTTGAAATTGATAACCATTTACTCACCTTATACTTTCTCTTTAATTTTTTTTACCTTCTTTTTTTAATTCCAAGCAAGGTGATAAGGCCATTATTAACTTTTAGCACTCTGCAGAATTAATATTACTTCCTTTTCTACTGCATTCTTTTTCAAGGCCTCTCAACTGCAGTAACCTTATTGCTGTTTTCTGTTACCAGAAATAAAAATAGAATTTAGAGAGAGTGTAAGTATGAGAGTGTGAAATTCTATTTTTATTTCCGGAGTCGTTTTTTCTGTTTTCTTTTTGAATTTGTAGGTCTGATGAATTGGATCGTATTTACGATTCCAATGGAATAAATTATGAACATGGAATATTAGTGTTTAAGCCTTTTTATTATATATATATATATATATATATATATATATATATATGCACACACACATATTTTAGGGGAGTTATATCTCGAAGTAAATAATTATACTCTCCTAGCATTTATATATACAAAAAATAATTACAAAAATGAGAAACAGCAAGACATGGAAACAAAATGAGTCTTATTTGTTATCTGGCATTGGAGACACAAGTGACAGTAATAAATTTTGTTGATTGCTAAGAAACAAATTTTATTATTATGACCTGAAAAAGGAAAAAATAGCCAAAATTTTTCATGATGCATATATGTTGATGTCCTGTCTATATTGACTGCTTGCCTGACAGTAAGAATGTCATGTTTTTTTGTGTGTAGAGGAGAAATGTGCGGTCAATTCTCATTGGTTTACAAAGAGTGAATTAATGATAATTATCATTGCTATAATTATTTTATTATAATTATTTTTGACATTATAATTAATTTTTATTTATGTATTTCTTTATGGAAACATTACCTAGTATCCATATATATATATATATATATATATATATATGCAAAAAATTATTGATATATATATATATATATAAATCTTACATTTATATATACAAAAATACTCATAAAAATGAGAAGCAACAAGACGCGGAAATAACAAAACAAGTATTATTTATTATCTGGTTGTTATCCGACGTTGGAGACACAAGAGACAGTAATAAAGAGTAAAATTTTAAGTTTGGGATCAAATGTTGATCAAATATGGATAGGAAGCCAACAGAAGAATAAGATAAAGAATAAGTAAAGGGTATACAGTCTTTCTTTTATGTTTTTTTATAAATGTATGTAATGAGTGTTCTGATAATTTAGTTAATAAATACAAAAATGTTTGGGGTTTTCTTACCTCGAATTTTTGTTGAGTGCTAAAGATAAATTATACTATTATGGCCTGTAAAAGTAAAAAGAAATGAAATTTTCATTGATGCACATGTTGATGACCTGTCTACGTGAACTGCTTGTCTCATAGTGATAATGTCACATGTTTGTGTATGTTGAGGAAAAAAGTGGAGGTCGTTTCTTATTGGTTTACAATGAATGAATTAATGATAATTATAATTGTTATAATTATTTTTTTTTACATCATAATTAATTTTATTATTTTATTTTTTTATGGACACAACAATATATATATGTTCAGAGGACTTATCTAAGGAACAACTTCAAGATTTGTAGACATGACACTTGTCAGGATCCTCAGCCCAACCTTTTTAACCTGTTTCTGGAGAGAATTATGCAGGAAACCCTCCACAACCACAAAACTTCTATCTCAGCCTGCAACCTGTGTTTCACAGACAATAATAGTGAGCTGCAAGACCTGACTAAGAAACTCGTTGAAAGAATCAGCAATATGGAATGGAACACAACACAGATAAATTCCAAAATAATGGTGAAGATCACAAACAGCACCAGAGCCAGCATCACCATGGACAACAAAACACTGGAAGAAGTTTCCAGCTTCAAATACTTAGGAGCAACTTTGTCAAAAAATTGCACCTGCAAACCAGAAATCCACACATGGATCATCACAGTAGCGAAAGGATATGGAAAGGCAAAATCAGCTTCTAGACCAAATTCAAGCTCTAAAAACTAATGGTCGTATCCATCCCTCTTCTATGTCTGTGAGACTTGAACATTACTGATTGAGGCAGGGAAAAGGATCCAGGTGTTCAAAAACAAACACCTGAGAAAGCTCGTCTGTATCTGTAATGAGTTGGTCGGTCAACTTGACACCCACAAAGCGAGGGGAGGTGGGCAGGCGCGGGAACTGTGATTGGTAACTGGCTTGTTGGTGTTTTGCATAGGTGAGTTACCAAGCTCTATGTAAAGGGCTGGAATGAGAAGGAGGGCAGTTTTCAGTCTCAGAAGTGGAGACTGTGTCCGTCGCTACGACAGCAGGAGAGAAAGAGATGAAATCATTTATTTTTTCGTGACACATTCCAACACAAGCTATTTCAGCATTTACATTGTCTCCAGCAAGATGGTGGAAAGACCGTTCGACATAAAACTGATCTCCGAATTCAGTGGTGATGGTGGACTCGGACTTGGAGGTAGGCCCTTCTTAAATCGAGGGTGGCCACATTGCTCCCTTGCTGTCGCCATTCCCACAATTTCTGGGCACAAACGTCCGCGTTGGCCGTATATGCATCTACAAAGGTATTCAATTCCCTGTAGTCCATGACCGGTCTCACTTTCCCCATTATTCTCTTGCACTATTGCCATCAATGGAATCAGTCCTCGAGGCGGCCCTAACTCTCCCTTGGGGTACGGCACAAGCCAGCCGTTTGCTATCCAAAGCTGCAATTCATTTTCGTATTCACTCCTGATATGCTCTGGAACTGGGTACTCTGCTATTTTATTTTTCAGTGGCGTGGGCGTTCGTCCGACTACCCACTTCCACGTTGCGGTCCATATGCGCCTGCACTAGTCGAAAGCACTACTGAAAGCACAAAACCAACGATGTACAGAGCAAAGTGGAAAGTTTTGTGGGCCAAAAGAAATATCTTCTTGCCACTATTAAATGCTGGAAGATGGCATGGTTTGGCCATGTCACACAACTTGACAGCCTCTGCATGACACTGTTGAAGGTGGACGCAGGCTGGGACAGCATCACAAGAACAGATCAGGCAACATCAAAGAGTGGATGAACATTGTAGTATTTAGTTGTGGCTTGAGATTATTTACTTATAATGCTTACTTATAATGCATTTATTAACATTAACGTACAACCGGTGTATTGTAACTCATGCCCCAGTTCGAAGTGTTCCCCAAGTGTTACTACGCTAAGAGGTCTACACACATCAAGTGTGCATAAGGAAGTAGTTCCCATAATACTATTACATCCCTCCCCCTCTTACTAATGAAAGGGTATGAGGATTATTTCTTAAGCAAATCATTGTTCAAATGTTTGTTTTGTATCTGAGTGGCATGTGTATTTCACAGCCACTTCTAGTTGTATTAACTATTGTGGGTGTTGGGTTTTTTCAGTCTCAGGTGTTGTTTGTGATAGTATGATATTTTGCTTCTTGGGTAATGAGTTGCCAGAACTCCTGAGAGTCATCGCCTGGAGAAGCTTCTCTGTTTCTTCTGCCCTCAAGTCCCCCACAACAGTTGAAGAACTGATGATGATGACGATGATATAGAATTGCTAATATTCCTTACCTTGCGTAGTATATAGATGACTTGTTTGCTCTTCACCAGGAACTAAAAATATATATAAAGGAAAGGTATAAATTCTTTGAGTGTAATAAATTAAACTTTTTAAAGATATTATCTTAAAAGGTAAATCAAGGTGAAACAGTATGCTCATCAGCATATTGAGAAATTTAGAAGGAAGACCCCACCTAAATAAGTAAAACAAGTCAGAAGTAAAACTGCAATCATGATTCTATTATTTTTTCACCTCTGATAAACAATAACATACCAGAAACAGATTCAAGTCCAAATAAAAAAAAAAATTTAGATGCTGATTTTCAAGGCATTGAATCAATTGCTAGGTCAGCTGCTAAGAAAGTGGGTTCAATGTGTCATGCAAGATAATTTTTCTCTCCAGATTCTATCTTGCATATCTATAAGTCTAACATCCATCCATGCTTAGAATATTGCTGCTACATATGGTTTGGTGCCCCTGCTATTTACCTTGAGCCCCTTGATAAAATACAAAGAAGAATCAGCAATATTATTGGTCCTGATCTGGCAGCTCACTACAGTCATTTAAAGTTGCCATTCTATGTATTTTCTATAAATACTTTCATGGTAATTGTTTGGATGAACTCTTTGCTTTTTGAATTGGCATCAAGATCTCAATTTACAGTTGAGCTGGCTAGAGGTAGCTGTAAAATCTATGCTAACAGTTTCTTTTCTCACACTTCTCACTTGTGGAACTCCCTTCCAGCTCCATGCTTTCCAGCAAAAATTTAAATGCAATGTCAATCGTTATCTACTGTCTTCCTGATTACTCTTTTCTCTTCCCGCTCATTAGTAATGTTTTTAATCCTAATTTTGAGAAATATTAATGACAATAATCAAAGCCTAAAGCTGGCAGAATACATGCATTTCTTGTGTCTTAGTGTCTTTACTGCCTTGCCTGGGGTGATACCAATTAAAAAAATAAATAAAAAATAAAAGCTCTCACAATTTAGGAGATCTTCTTTCTTTTTCCCCACCTGTATTCACTTTTGTGCTTGATGAAGCTAGAATATCAGCAAACATTCAGAATATAAACATATCAGTTTTTCATGAATATTTATTGCTCCATTGTATCCACGAGATCCCTTTATAAAAAAAAGTTCTGCTTCTTAGAAATGTTCATGTCCAATTTAAATAACTAACCATGAACGCATAAATTATTCTGCAAAAGTTAGTCATCATCAAGAATAATATTTGGTATGGCTGATACTAACCTCCAGGACAAATCATTGAACCTTATTGATTTTCCATCTCCCACTGATATGAAGTGGAATAAATTGAATCAATTGCTAGATCTGCTGCTAAGAAAGTTACTTCACTGTGTTGTGCCAGAAATCTTTTCTAAACAGAATTCATCTTGCACATTTATAAATCTATCATTCATCTGTGCATTGAATATTGCTGCCATATCTGGTCTATTTTAAATTTCTTGGGAGGTTTGAAGTAATAAAAATATGTTATTCTGCTTTCACAATTGAATACATGGTAGATCATACTCAGTTTTTGTGCATATACATGATAAAGACATAATTACTGAAGGTGCTGCCATATCTGGTTACTCCTGCTATATATCTCAAGATTCTTGAAAAAATGTAAAGGAGAGTCTGTAATATTATTGGTCTTGACCTGGCATCTCAACTTCAGTCACAATCCCAACACCATGTGTGGGGAAAATAGAAATGGTTTACCTCACAAACGCCCTCGCATCTGCCTGGCCTGTGGGTTGTGAGAGGAAAGAAAAAATCCAAGATGGCGTCCGTGACTTTTAATATTCACGGTCTCGTGCAGTCACGCAAAGTCGCGTTACACACATGCTAATGAGGTGTGTCTGGGCTCCATAAAAGCAGGTTGCTTGGAGAAATTGGCAGAACGGCATTACACCCGTGTTTGGTGTACACGGCTTTGCGTTGCAGCGTGTCAGACATTTTCAGACGGAAAGAGTTGCGTCCCTTACACTGTTGAAGTCGACTCATTTGCTACACCATGAAGTGGCTTCCCTCTGTTTTTTTCTATAGATATTTTCATAGCAATTGCTCTCCTTGATATCACAACCATATGAATTTAAGTGTACTACTAGACTGGCAACTAAGTTTCATCGTTTTACTGCTGAAATAGCTAGATGTAACCGTAAGTCCTATTCTAATATTTTTTCCTTGGACTTCTCGACTGTGAAACTCTTTTCCAGTTTCTTGCTTTCCTGCCATCTAAGATCTTTTAAAAATCTAAATGCAATGTCAATCGCCATCTTCTGTTTTCCTGAATCCTGTTCTTTTATTGTCCTTTCTCATCACTACTTTGCATCTTAGTGATTTCATGATCTTGCAATAAAAAAACGTGAATTTTATTGGTAATCATATGTACAACAGAGGGTTGATTACAAGATACAAAATTTGAATGTGACATATTTCTTTCTGTTTTAGGTAACACTTGCATTTCTGTCAGTAGATAGCATGAATATATTTTAATTTCATGTTATATCAACATTTACTTCATAACAAATTTTGTCTCTTAAAAAAAAGAAAAAGGAAAAATCATTTTGATTTTCTTTTATCATAGTTTCATATTGTAGTCTATCTTCCATTTTATAACAGGAGAGAGCTAGGGAAGAAATATTTATTCTTCCATTTAATTTCTCCCATTATGAGCATTATTATATCTATGATATAATAACAATGTAATTCATATGCAGAACAGAATGGCTGAAAGGAAAAAGAATGAGAAACATGCTTTGTTCTCAGAGAGACTCTTATACTACTAAAACATACACAAACCTATATATACACATGTGTATTCCACTCGGAGAATAATATATTACATATATCTACACAGCAAAGCAAGTGGAAGGAGAAACAAAAATGAAGGGTCTTACATATAATATGGAAATATTTTTATATCTGGAGAAACACTTTTTAGGACTTTGCATTGAAATGTGCTGGATTCAGCTATGTCCCAGGTAAGGAAATATTCCATGAATAGGAAACAGCAAGTCTTGGTTTTTCTCAAATTGAAGACTGCAATCTGGAGTTACTTTCTATATCTCAAAGGGAAATGGCACCATAGACTTCTAAGCTGCTGGGGAGGCAGATTTATCCTCTGCTCGGACCTTGAGGGCCCAGGCTTAAGAAAGCAACCATTTAGTTTAGCTGCTGTAAACTAACTGAATTTGACTGCCACTTTGTTCACTACATGGAGTGATGTCACTAAGTGGCCATCATATGACTTCACCAAAGGGAGATAAGCACTTTCTTTATCCTTACAACTTCAACAACACTAAAACATAAAACATACATATCAGCACCTTCAGTAATTATGTCTTTATCATGTATATGCACAAAAGCTGAGTATGATCTACCATGTATTCAATTGTGAAAGCAGAATAACATATTTCTATTACTTCAAACCTCCCAAGAAAATTAAAATTTGGCATTAAATGACCCATAAAGAGTTAATATGCTGTTAAACAAATCAAATAATTTCTTCAACAATGGACAATTTGCTCCAATTTTGGCAATAATGGGTAATACAGAAATGTATATCTTAAATTTAGCCTATAATGCACAATTAAGAAGTATGTAATTTTTTCAATAATTGACAATTAAGACAATATCTTTAAATCATATTCTATCGTTTTATAGAACTGTACTGTTCCTGATACTTAATTGATTGCAGATTTTCAGCTGGGGAGAATTAGCAATAGTGTAATGCCCATCATTGTGATGATGTATATTCTATGAAAGAATTTAGCTTTCTTACCAGTTTACAGTATACAGTTTCTTACCAGTTTACAGTATACAGTTTCTTACCAGTTTATAGTATACAGTTTCTTACCAGTTTATAGTACTTACCAATCAGTTCAGTCTCCACACAGCTCCACTCGTCTTCTAACGGAATGCTGTTGCTTATGACAAGCTCGTTTATCATAGCTCCTCCAGTTATATTTGTGAACAAATCTTTCCGGGGAGCTGTTGGTAAATGTTGAGACAGACATGACCAGGTGGGATTAAAAGTTGCAGTTGAGGCTGTAGTAGTTTTTGGCACAGTTGCAGTAGTAGCAGCAGAGGAAATGGAGTCATTATCCACAGCAAAGACAGCAGATGCAGCGGAGTCTGCTTGGTGTGCAGTGGGAATTTTCTGGCATTCATTAGAGGCTACCTGATGTGTAGCAGGGACTGTCAGTTGTGAAGTTGAGACTATCTGACATTCAGTAGAAATTGCTACAGATGATGAAGACGGTATAGTATAAGATGCTGAATAAGAATCCATAGCAGTGGAGTTCCCTTCAAATTTTCTTTTTGATGTAACAGCCTGGGCTGCCTCTGCTGCATCTCTCTTGAAGGCACTGAGAAGCCTGACAGGCAGCTGTAGTTTGAAGCAAGAAAAATAATCAATTATTTACTAATTTCTGCATATTATTCTATTAGGAACAAAAATGATATTATATGTAGATAAAGGAGGTCGAATCAACAAATCTATTGCCTGATATGTAGATTGAAATTTTCATTATAAAATGATTGATGTATGTAATTAATATTCATCAATGAATTAAATGCATTGACAAAGAAGGACATTATGTTGAAAAATATTTGTTGTGTAAAATAAATGCTTTTCATCATGAATTCCATATCCAATCATATTAGAGACATGTATGAGCAAGAACTCCAAACTTGTGTTGCCAATGGCTGGCTAATACCATAAGCTGAAGAGAAACTGAAATCACCTAACAACTTGATTCCTTTGATGACCGTTGTGCAGCACAGTAATGGAAAGATACACTGGATGATGGATTATCACTAACTCAATGAACATGTTGACACATGTCAATGATTGTATGACAAAACTAAGAGAATGGTGTCAATAAGGGATAAGTGTAGCTCTACTGTATTTAACAAAGGCATACCTACAGGTACATATTCATGAATCATTTTGACCATATCAGACTGTAATGATCAAGGGGAAACGATACAGCATAATGCGGCTGGGATGCGAACTTAACATGTCACACTTGATCTTCGAATTCCTCATTGGTGCTGTGCTGTCGCAGGAGTCACACAACAGAGTGGTATCAGCAGTGGTGGCATCCTAAATTTCCAGTTCTATAAAGGCAGGTAATCTTTAGGAACCTATTCTGCTTATTTTGTTCTCAATCTGAGAATGGAAACAAACCATTTCATCGTATCAAAAAGAATTAAACCATTTTGATACTTTAATAGAAAACATTTATCTAGTAAGATATTTCCAGATTGAAATTCTGTTCTTATCAATATAATCAGAAATAATGATGGAAGGGTATTTTATTTCCCAGTACACTCTCATCTATATGAATCATATAGGCATAAGACCAGTGGTGATATCCTAAATTTCCAGGAACCAATTCTATAAAGGCAGGTAATCTTTAGGAACCTATTCTGCTTATTTTCTTTTCAATCTGAGAATGGAAACAAATTACTTTCTAGTATTAAAAAGAATTAAACCATTTTAATAATTTAATAGAAAACATTTATTAAGACATTCCAAGACTGAAATTCTGTTCTCATCATATTTCTGTTGAGAAGTCTGATGCTTTTTCCCTTTAGTGTCATCAGCTTGTGTTATGGTTTCTTAGCTACATTTGAACTGAATCGCTGCAGTCCCCAAGATCCAATGAAAGACCTACAAAATTTATGACTAGAAGATCTGCCACATTTTTAACTTCAAAATGTTAGATGAAGAGGGGGTCTATTAGAGTTTCACTAGGCACACACATGAGTGTAGTGTAACTAACATTTTATCTAGGCCATCATCTATTAATATATAAGATTATTTTCAGATAATCCAACAACCAGTTTGCTAAGCTTTTATAATTTTAAGAATCGGTTTGTGCAAACCAGTGTGAACCATTAGGATGCCACCACTGGGCATCAGACTATAGTGACTATTTGTACATCAATGAAAACATCATGGCTGCAACAAAGGTAGGAAAGAAACATGCACACTTAATCAAATAAGACTGGGATCCCCTTTGGAGTCTGCACCTTGTAGTAACTTAAATTTCTAAGTTCTGGTCTTCAGGGCCAGCACAATGTCTTGGTCAGGAGATCTCGGCAAATGATGTGAATTTCAGTAAGAGTAATGTAGGGACTTCTAGTCGTCCAAACCTCTATCTTATATGGAGTCCTGCAGGGGTGGGGTTGATCAGGGTCTAGGTTTAGTTGTCTTCCATCCTTAGCACCAACCATTTTCTAAAATTTCATATTCTCAAAATATATTTACTCAAGTGGTTTTCCAAATTTGGGGTTGATCAGACCTCTTTTGAGAGTCATCATAGGAATCAAGTCACCCTTTAATTCCAACTCTCTTCAGATCTCATCTTGCACCATTGCTCCATATATAGGTGGTGCTAATCTCTCTCTTCCTTCTCCCACTTTCTCGGCATCTAACTTCAGCCCACCTCAAGGGCTGGTACACTGTCTGAATCCAAACTTTCATCTGCGTAGATAAAAAGGGATTTTCAGTCATTAATATGTCTTTGTCAGTTTGTATCATGCTGTGATTTCTCAATTGACCAATACCACTCAAGAATTCTCATCGGTGGGAAAGAAAATTACTCTTAATCTTTCTAATGATAAAAACAAACGTTTATCTTTCCTTTATGTGTTTTTTTACACAATCAACAAAACCACACAGCCTTTGTGTCCACAGTTACTCCAAAATAGTAATTAATTTTTCTTTATCACTTGTCTCCAAAGGAACCCAAATTAATGTTGGATATAAAATTTTTCTTGACAAATATAACAGAAATTATAATGAACAAACACATCAGGCTAATCTTCTATTTTTGTAGGGACACTTTTCTTCTGAGTGGCTGATTTAAACCAGATGTTTTACCTAGATCTTTGTTCAGAGGAATCGTATATGTTATTTCGGTGACCACCCGGATTTCTTTATCAACAACATATGTTTTTTTCTATTTGACATTTTCAAGGATATGTTAATGGTCTCTTTCTCATCAGCAGGAAGTGGAGAAAGACAGGTAGTCTTGATTTTGCTTAATCTTATTGAATTCCGTCTATTCAAATTTAGGTTCAGTTCTCTTTGGAATTATTTTAAAACATGGTTTTTCAACACATTTTGTTTTTAATTTTCTTAACTTTTCAATCCATCTTCCTGCAGATTTCAACAATTATCATCTAGTCAGAAGACTCTTTTCTCTTCTATTCTTTCCCCTTTTGTTTGATCAATCTCTGGTCACATATGAATTAATGGTAGTGAAAAGGTACATACACAAAATAACAGAGACTGACTGATTTGCAATGCAAGATAACATTTATTAAACAAAATAACAAAAGGAAAGTTTAAGAGTTTCCTTTCCTAGAAGTAAATTGAATACACAACAAAAATTGTTAATGAATGTATTTGAGTGTGACTTGTTTGTGTTGGTGTGTTTGTGTGTGAAGCGTTCACAGCCCTTTTTGCTTCAGTGTAAAAAGTTGATAGCACACACTTCAAAAGTAAGAAAACAGGAAGAGAGAGTTACTTTAAGAGTTCAAGTTGTTTTTATACCCCCAGGGCTTCTGATGATACTAGGTTTTTTAAGGCACTACACTTGTTGGATATCTCCCTGTATGTGGGTGGTTCTGGGTGGCGACCAATGTCATCAAGCAGCGAGCAAGCTCTGTTAGGAATTGAAGACATGCCTCTTAGATGTCTGTTAAGAGAGACTGTGAACAGAGCAAAGTAGAAGAACTTAGCATGAGGTGATTGGTGTGTTGATGAGCAAGAAATCAACATATGGGTCAGTGTAAGCCCCCTGGCAACAGCAGTGATTCCGAAAAGAAATGGTGCCATTTTGGATGACACATATTGGCTTCAACTAATGAATGATACCCAACACATCAATGTGGTTCAGACTGATGTTGCACTGAAGGGATACAATCTGGCACGTCAGTGGCAAGCCAAGGTGATACATGTCAAAATAGACCCCTCATGTGCATACCACTGACTCTCTTCTATGTCGATTGGCAAAGCTCAGAAAAACAGCTGACACTGAGCACAGGTAAAGATCTCATCTGAAAGTATGAATTGTCTGTAGATGAAGAGTTGGTTGCATAGAGTCAGAACTTGGCAGACAGGATGACAAGAGTACTACAGAAGTGGTTCAAAGAGGGGGTTGAATGCATGCATCAGATGTGTACTGTCTCTGTGGACAATTTAAGCCTCCATCAAACCATGGATATTTACCATAGCAGCAAGAAGCTAGGGGAGTGGCAAACCACATGCATTGTATGAAGAATTTGCCCCTCTATGCCTAAACAAGATATTAAATCAGCAATCAGATCATACATTGAATGCAGAATAGTAAACCTAGCACCAGTTCATTGAGCCAGAAATAGGTCTTATTTGCTACTGGCTGGGTATGAATATCACTCACTATGGTAATGGTAATTATATGACCATGACAGATTACAGTCCAATAAGGTTCATTGTATGGCAACAATTGACCTAACAGTATTCATTCAATTTAATGCATCAATTGGAGTCCTGCCCCATGAACTTCTCATAGACAATGTGATGTAATGGAATAACCTGTTACCCATGAGTGACTACACTATAGTGCCTATAAGTATCTGTAAGTCAACAGACTACAGAGTCTAGCTGGGATATGTTGAGTACAACTAAGACTTACACAAGAACTATCGACCTTCCAATGATAGTATTCACTACTAGATTGACTTGCAACAACCTTGTGCATAACTGTTACCTTTATTCTTATTGTACTTGTTCATTACAATAAACCTTTACTTATTTTATCCACCACGTTTGTCAAGTATATATTCCTATTAAACCGAATATAACATAATGACACTGTATTCTGCAGCAAGGAATTCAATGTCTTCATGGAAGAATGGGGTCTGCCCTGAGATTTTGTTGTGCTTGCGTCCCAGCAGGAAATGGAATATTAGAGCGATGTCACAGGAATATAAAGAGAATTGTAGTCAAAAAGAAATGTTCCATCAAAGAAGACATGACAATGTTACTATCAAGGATAACACTTCACCTCCCGCTGTGCCTGCTAATGGGATCTATACCTCACCTACAAGGTTAGACCCAAAGGAATTGATTCAGTGCCTCCCAATGAAGCCTGGGATGAATAATAAAAAATACATGGTGAGAGACTGTTTGTGCATGAAACCTACATACAATCAATGCATGATTTTTAATACCTTGATTTAACAGTTCACTGAGGAAGAAAAACTAGCTGGTTACATTCAATGCCTCAAAAACCAAACTAGTGATGTTCTATCATCACCAAGTGAACCCTGAATTTTTTGAATGGGTGTTGTCCAAGGATGGCTCCATTCCCTTGAGCACCTTTTGGGATTTAAGCTCACATCAGACCTCAAATGGAACTTGTACATACAATCCATTGCTAAAGATGCTGGAAAAATGGTCAGTTCTCTGTACCACTCCAGTAAGTATCAGACTCCTCCTGATATCCTTGCCTTTTCAAAAGCCAGATCAAGCTGAAAAAGGAGTACTGCTGCCATATATGGGCTGGAGCTGCTCAGTCTTCACTTGTAGGAATTTTTCCCAGTTGTGTGTCTGTTTGTGCTCAGCAGTGATAGAGAAATGAACAAAACCCAAGTCTTGCAAAAACTGTTCCACAGCTTTTATTTCTAGTTGAGAGTGCAAAATAGTAGTATTTGACAGGGGGAAAAAAGGGAGGTTTCCCAGTTAACAAAGTTCTTGAGTAGATGTTTTGTAAAGAGAGATTTCTCTGTTTGTTCCAACAGGATGAATGAGAAATCTGAGTGTGAAACTGCGAAAACAGGCCTCATCTTCTGCAGCAAAGGTTGTTTGTAATTTTTCCATTTGTAGGTGAAGATTTCTCCACTGGTTCCCATGGGAGGAACAATAAAAATGCTGAATATGAAAAATGGAAAGAGATTGAACAGGGCTTGGTCTATGACCTCTGGGACTTCTGGTTGTACCCTCCTGATTATTTCTGTTGCTGCTGCTGAATTGAGCAAAGTAAAAAAGCCCACGCATGCCATAATAGCCAACAAGTGAGATAGTTTCTATACACTTTCCAGTTTTTATAGAGTTCAAAAGCATCTCTATGGTCTTGTGGATGATGAATTATATTCCACCCTACAACCACTTTTCCCACAGACAAAAATTTGCAAGCTTTTACTGTTATTTCCATTGAAAGTGTTCAGACAAACTACATTCCTTAGTTTCACCAGTTCTAACATTCATAGCCAAGACCTGCCAAGCTACACACATTGTAGCAAAACGTCCTCATTCCCTTGTATTCCATTAGTGAGAAGTAGGTTCCACTCGAACAGCTTCTTCCCACAAATTGTCACTTTGTGGAACTGACTCCCAATAGGATGTTCCCTGGTCACTACAATCTTAACCTGTACAAGTCTAGGATTAACTGTTATAGTCCCCATATATCCCCATAAATTGTGCTCCTTACTGCTTACTCTGTAACCCTCTACCTTAAGTGGCTCTTGTGCTTTGTACAGTGTGGACATTATTATAAAAAAAATAAAAAATAAAGAGATATTGAAATGTAACTTGCCCCAACCAAGAAACACTTCAATAAAAAAAATTTGATGTCTGATCATTTAGTAAGATTTTTGGAAATAGGACAAACTGAAAATGTTTTAATGTCCACCTCTTCATATGTGAGTGTGTGTGCACATGTGTGTATTTGAATAAGAATCATGGCTTACATCATCACAGGTTCCGTTCTGGACATCATCTGGGTAACACATGTCATCAGTGCAGACGACATCAATGTCAACATCCACTGGGTCACTGTTTTCTTTGACAACATCTTCCTCTGACAAAATTTCCTTTTTGAAAAAAAATTAATTAAATCATAGTAATTAGATTAATAATTGAGTACTTTTTGCACTTTTATAATTTTAGATTGAGATAGATGGATATGAACAGACTAAGATAAACAGAGAGAGAGATAGATATGAACAGAGATAGATAGATAGATAGATAGATAGATAGATAGATATGAACAGACTGAGAGAGATAGAGGGATATGAATAGACTGAGAGAGATAGAGGGATATGAACAGAATGAGACAGAGAGATATGAACAGAGATAGAGAGATATGAACAGACTGTGATAGAAAGAGAGATATGAACAGACTGTGAAAGAGAGAGATATGAACAGACTGTGAAAGAGAGAGATATGAACAGACTGTGAAAGAGAGAGATATATGAACATTGATAGAGAGAGAGATATGAACAGACTGAGATAGAGAGAGAGAGAGAGAGGGATATAAACAGAATGAGAGAGATAGAGGGATATGAACAGACTGAGAGAGATAGAGGGATATGAACAGACTGAGAGAGATAGAGAGATATTAACAGAATGAGACAGAAAGATATCAACAGACTGAGATAAAGAGATATGAACAGACTGGGATAAAGAGATATGAACAGTTTGTGTCTCATTATCTAAAATGAGGTATTATCACAATTTACTAATGTCCTTATCTTTGTTGTTGCTATTATCACAACATTTCAGTCATTATGTCCTTCGTCGTACTTCAGGTGCATGTTAATCCAGGTAACCTCCAGTGAATTTCAAACTGAGCCCTTTATTTAATCCACTGACCTAGAATGTTCTTGTTCCACTGTCCATGTCTTGTGATATCACACTTTCTTCTTTTTTTAGAACTGCATAATTATTACTAGCCTTGTGTTCCACTGAATCTGTACAACTCAGACATGGGATTGAACTCACAATTTTTATGTCACTATATTCACAAATCAATGTTATAAATGTCTAGACTATTAAGATATTCCAAAAGATATGAACAGAAGAAGAACAATGCACTCCTGTAGATAAAGTAAAGTTCAAAATTCAATGAAGGTTATCCACATCAACAGAAACCTGAAGAAGGGTTGAGGGCAGAACGGCCGAAACATTGTGACAATAAAAGCAAAGTTGAGGACTTTAGTTCAACTGCAAATAATGCAAATATGGACGTGTGTGTGTGTGTGTGTGTGCATATCCCCTGATGAGTGGACGAAGTGATTGCTGGAGTCTATGAAACTCTAGAGTCAGGAGGCTGAAGGTAACACCAATCAGCTAAGTGACAAACTTTATATTTGTATTAATTATACACACACACACGCATATATATATATATATATATATATATATATTTAAATAGGTAAAACCACATATTTTTTTCCCCAAAAGGCAACACTTTATCAGAAGAATTGTTGATGACTAGTAAAATGTTAATGAGAATTGTGTAAAAATAGAAAAATTAGGAGGACATAAGGAATTATGAATAAAAAACAATCTAATTTTAAAAAGGGGAGAAGCAAAAAAATGTGTGTGCGCGGAAAACTGGATACTGAGGTTAACACTGAATGGCGAAGGTCTGTTTTATGCTTGAAGGCCTGGAGATTGCAGTCAAGCATGAAACAGACTGTCGCCACTCGATGTTGATCCCATTATCCACTTTTATATTTACATATGATTGAGCACTTTTAAACATAAATATAGCATACCTTAAAGTTTAAACTATATTTTTATCATAGATAGATAATTAAATTTTCAGACATTTTTAAATTTTATTCTAATGTACTAAACAAATATTTTTATACATTTTTTATTCTTTACTTTGATGTCAAAAATTTTACTTCAGTCATTTTAAGAATTTTTTTAAAATAAAGTGAATGGTTTGAATTTTTGTCTTTTGTCTTTTTTCTTCCATCAAAATAGCAAAAAAAAAAAAAAATAAATAAATCGTCTGCTAAGAAATAAAACTATAAAAGCTTTTTTTTAAATTTAAACTGATTTTATATTTGGAGTCAGGAAGATCTTTTAGGAAAACTTTTAACAGCATCTTTCTTTCAGATTATTAGTAAAAAAAAATAAAAGACAATTTTTATGAGCGTGAAAAAGTAATGTGCAAAAATATAAAATTAAATTCACGATAATCGCGCAATTTAAACACATTTTGGAGGTAAATATTGAAAAAGAAAAGTTTTAAAAAATGAATACAAAATTTAAAAACTGAAAAAAATTGAAAAATTAACTGAAGATTAAATTAAAAATCTTATCAAAAACGGTTCCGTCAATAAGTACAAGAAAATAAAACTTTTTTTTTTCTGCTTTAATTCAATCTTAAAAAATAAGTTCGTTTTAATTTTAACTTTTAATAAAAAAAAACATTTTTATTTCTTTAAATAAATTACGCAATATGAGAGACAGGAAAAATATATTTCTTTTTTTTTTTTCAAAAACGAAAGAAAAATTTAAGTTTTCTACTTTTTTTTTCTGTTTTTCACAACAAAAAATGACTTTTTTTCATTTCTTCTTTCTTTTTCAGAATAAAACTAAAAAAAGTAAAGAGAAAGAGAGAAGTAAGAAAAAATGGTTATTTTTGTCTTTCCTAATTTTCCTCATCTAATTCAAAGAGATAAACTCACAATATCCAAGCCCGTGTCTTCTATGTCCATAATTTAAATAGGAGGGAGAGAAAAGTGACCCGAATTCTTCAGCTATGGGCGAAAATGAATAAAAATTGTCGGTTGATAAGCAAACAAATACACACTGCTAAGGCGCCATTTTGACGCCTTTCTATGAAGTAGAAAAAGAAGCAACTTTCTTTTTTTATTTATTTGTTTTATTAATGGCTTTCTTTTTTTAATTATTTTAGTAGTAGTTGTAATATTATTGCTTTTATTATTATTATCCTACAAAATAACTAAAAAAAGGTCGGCATGTGTTTAGTTTTTCTTCCTCTCAAATTACAGTCATCGACCCAACAGGTTGAACGTACGCAATATAAGCAAGCAATTGCTTTTTCTCCTTTCCCTCCATTTCAGCTTAAATCAAAAGTCGCTTTAAAAATGTCATGAGATTTTTTTATATATATTTTCCTATATTAAAAAGACGTGAGTTTTCAAGAAAATAAAAAGTGATGAATTATGATATTAATTTAACAAACCTGTTCCAAAAATTTACTAATTTTTTCATTCACAAAGATGAAAATGATAAGATTTATTTTTTTTTAGCTATATATATATATATATATATATATATATATATAAATATTATATAAAATTACATTTACAAAGTTTAATTTGGCACTGGATGAAATTGGTTTAGGAAGATTGGGCTGCGTCATTTTCCCTAAAGGTGAATATCTGATTGATTGATTCGTTTTTTATGGCTTATCAACCTTTTGCAGGTTATTTAAAGCCAGAAAATATTTTTTTCATGATTTTAAGAATGTTTAAAGATAATTATTTACTAATGCAAATTCAGCTAATTAACCTATAGCTGGGGTGGGGGATAAGAGGTGAATTTGTTACACCAGGTGGGTGGCAGTGTATGCATTGAGAGATAAACATGTGTGTCTCCTGAAATGCCCACAACAAACATGGCAGACTCGGGATGTGAGTCCACATAAATAAATGTAAAGAAACAACAAGAACCAATATATATGTACAAACAAATAATAATGTATTAACAACGAAGGTATACAAGTGACAAAGAAAATGATGTATATAACAATCAGTCAGTTATGTACCATGCATGACACATGCTTAGGTGATCATGTATCTTTCGATATATGACTGATGAGGCAGATTTTTTTACCACAGTAGGTTGCCATTTCTTTCTGCAGTAGACCAGTTGCCACCCAAGGCTACTGAACTCGGTCTGTCCTGCTATTTTCCCATAGCTGGGGGAGAAGAAGAGGATTCATACCTTTCCCAAAGGTATTAGCACATAAGTGAATAACAAATGAATGTGAAAACCTTTTTAGTCCAAAGTATGTAAAGTTTGGTGAATGTGCATATGTACATGTGTGTGGTTATGTATTGTTCCGCAAGTGATTTACATGTTGACGTGTAAGATGGAAAAGGAAGAAGAGAATGATAAAATTTTATTGCAGGGTATTTATAGTCCTGAGAGCATCCCCTAGGAGCAGTTTTGAAAATTAGGAGGAGGTAACCTGACAGATTCATACCTTTTCTAAGGGTACTTTTGCATGAGTGAATATAATGAACTCAACTGGAAATGGAACTCAGTTCTTCAATTTCCAATTCTGAGATGTTATCTATTACACCACACAAGCTTACAGCACCTGGTAATCCCAAGCAGTCACACATCTAGATACTGACCAGGCTCAACGTTGCTTAACAGCATTTCAAAAGAATGTCTAACTTGTCTTGTACTTTGATGTGATATAATTTTCAGCAAGTTTATCTCACTAGATCAATTACAACTGAGTAGTGAGTTCAGTCCTCACTGGGTGTTTCATAGTTTCAGTTTTATGGAGGTTTTTATATTCCGTGCTAATAGGAATATATATTTGAAAAACAAGGTGGATAAAATAAGTAAAGGTTTATTGTAATGGAGCAGTACAATAAGAATAAAGGTAACAGTTATGCACAAGGTTGTCGCAAGTCAATCCAATAGTAAGTGCTACTATTGGAAGGTCGGTAGTTCTTGTGTAAGTCTGAGTTGTACGCAACAGATCTCAGTTAGAGTATCTAGCAACTGCCCCACGCAGTCACATGTGGCACAAGGCCGAATTTAATGTGGGGTTCCTGAGCCTGTAGGCTCAGCCAAAAAATCCCCGTAGACTCTGCATAAACAGGATTGGGTCTGCCTACCTCCCCAAATGAGACTCTGCCCTTCAGCATAACTTCATCTAAAGTTCCTCCCTGCCGTCAGGCGGAGAGTTCAACTAGCACAGCTGAAAAAGATTTCAGCCAGAGTATCTAGCAACTGCCCCACGCAGTCACATGTGGCACAAGGCCAAATTTAATGTGGGGTTCCCGAGCCCGTAGGCTCAGCCAAAAAATCCCTGTAGACCCCCGCATAAACGGGATCAGGTCTGTCTAACTCCCCGAACAAGACTCTGCCCTTTGGCATAGCCTTGTTCAGGTTCCTCTCTGCCCAAGGGCAGAGAGTTTGACACTACAGCCAAAAATGATTTCAGCTAGAATATTTGCCAACCACCCCATGTGGTTGGATTTGGCACAAGGCTGAATTTAATGTGGGGTATCCAAGCCCATAGGTTTGGGCAGAAATTCCCCATAGACCCTGTAAAAAAATAGGGTAAGGTTGGTCTACGACCCCAGACAAGACTCTGCCCTTCGGCATAGCCTCATCTGGGTTCCTCTCTGCCTGAAGACAGAGAGTTCAACCGCTCAGACATACCCACATTAAAAAGGCCTTGTACCACATTCGATCCCCATGGGTGGATTGATAAATACCACGTATAGCTAAAAAGATTATAGATACTGAAAAGATTACAGATACTTATAGGCAGTTACTACCTATAGTGTAGTCACTCATGGGGGTGACAGGTTATTCTATTACATCAGAGGTGCATCAATAAGTATGCATATGACTAATGAAAAATGATTAATGTCATACAAAAAAATATTCCTTCTTCTTCCATGTCAAAGAACTTAATTCAATAGTGAATGTTAATCATATATGTTGAACATTAAACAATGAAATTTTCAGATCAAATTTCTGCTATTTCCATATCAGGCTACAAATTTATTGATTCAGTCCTGTATATAACTTTGTCATTGGTGGTTTCATTAGTTAATTTATTTCAATGGGTGTCAAAAATTTGTGGGGAAAATTAAATAAAACTAATAAAATAAAATAATAATAACAAATATAAAAAATTAATTAATTAATTTTCCCATGATGCAAGTTGCAAAGAAACCAGGAAGGGTTTCTGGTCATGTGTATAATTTTATGAAACCTATACCAAAAAGGACGGAATCTGCCTCTTTCTTCTGTTGATTTCAAGATGTGAACCATGCTGTAACAGCATTCCCACTGGGATATGTTAGTTTCCCTGGTCCACTGACAAATGAACTTTTCTATTTACCATCGTCAGATGTGTTTTAGCAGCCTTTCTCATGAAGTAGAGATTTGGCCATCCCAACTCAGTGTGAAGCTAACTTGAGCTCAACTAGATTTGATCATTTGTATCATTACTTCCCATAAATTATTTCTGAACTGAAAAGAAAAACACATATTTGGCCTTCCCAGCTTAGCACAAGGCTGACTTAAGCTCGATTATGTTTACCCGTTCTTAAATTATTTCAGAATCAAAAAGAAAAACAGACATACTTGGCCTTCCCAGCTTAGCATGAGGCTGACTTAAGCTCGACCATGTTTACCCGTTCTTAAATTATTTCAGAAACAAAAAGAAAAACAGACATACTTGGCCATCCCAGCATAGCACGAGGCTGACTTAAGATCGACCATGTTTACCTGTTCTTAAATTATTTCAGAACCAAAAAAAAAAAAAAACAGACATACTCGGCCTTCCCAGCTTAGCACGAGGCTGACTTAAGCTCGACCATGTTTACCTGTTCTTAAATTATTTCAGAACCAAAAAAAAAAAAACAGACATACTCGGCCTTCCCAGCTTAGCACGAGGCTGACTTAAGCTCGACCATGTTTACCTGTTCTTAAATTATTTCAGAACCAAAAAGAAAAACAGAAATACTCAAGTAACTTTTTAACTTTATTTAAATACAGTCAACATAAAAAGAATAGTAGAAGAAACACAATTTTTTGTACGTTTCTTTTCGTTGAAATGCATCTTCACCTAAAAAAACACACACAAAAGCTTGTTAACATTCACAGATTTGATCTCAGGTAAAAGCTTTGATTTTTTTTTTTTTAGGTAGGCAGATTTGCCCTCCCCATTTGAAAAATTGGTACAATACAATCTTTCTATTCTCATTTATTCTTGCACCAAATTATAGTTAGAATCTATTTAGCCAGCTGCTAGACTGTCTACCTGTCTGTATGCAAGTATGTATGTACATATATATCAACTTCTTTTATATGTACTTATGGCCATATCATATTGAAACATTGGTTCCCATACAATCACCAAAGTTAAGCAACATCAAGTCTGATCAGTAACTAGATAGGTGACCACTTGGGAGTAGCAGGTGCTGCAAACTTGGATGTGTGGGTGGTGTAATGGATAATGGCTCAGAATTGTTAATCAGAGAACAGAGTTCCTATTCCCATTGCGTTTCATTATATTCATTTATGCACAAATGGGAAAGGCATGAATCCACCTCTTCTCAACCCAGCTATGAGTTAATTAGTAAGAATTATCCCCCCGCCAATTCTAAAAATATTTTTGGTTCTGAATAACTGGCAAAAGGTTAATAAAATGTAGAAACTGAATAAATCAATTCTTGTATGTGCCATGTCCCTTCAGGAGGTAGGTGATCATGGTTCTCCACAACTTCCTATCCTTTGTAGCTATAACAAATGTTTATCCTTTCCCACTTTCTGTGTTGCCATCCATTTACACAAGCTTGTTAGATTGGTTACTTGTTGCTTTCTTCTGTCCCTCTTATCTTCAATATGTCTTATGAGTATCAAATTTCCCAAGCACTCTTTCCTCCTTATATATCCAAGAAACTTCAACTCTTTTTGATTTCATGTGTAATTGACCTTTTTGTTTCCTTTTCCTTTATAACTTCCTCATTACTCACATGCTCTAGCCATTGTATTCTCAGCATCCTTCTGCAGAACCATGTCTTTATTGAATCAAGGCTTCTCTTCATTGTTGCAAAAATTGTCAAGCTTTCACTGCCATATAGGAGGATAGATATTACATAGTAGTTCAGCATTTCTATCAAAATATTGCTGTTTCTTACTCATTAGGTTGATTACTCAATGTTTTTCTCTGTCCTTCTTGCCTTCAGCAAGTCTTGTGAGTGTTGAATTCGCCAACCCCTCTTTCCCCATTTTGTGTGCCAATGATTTTGTCTTTTTTTTTATTCTAAGTACTAGCCTCTTTATTGTTCCCTTTTACTTAAAACCTTCCTGTTGCTTCATCCACGGTATTCTCAGCATCCTCCTGTAGAATGACATTTCTATTAACTCACTCTTCATCTTTGGGAAAATTGTCCAGCTTTCACTACCATATAGGACAGAGATGTCCAAACTTTTCTCAAAGAGGGCCAGATTTGATGAGGTCAATATGCGGGAGGCCCAACTATTCGACTTGGTATTCTTTGAACCATTAAAATTAAATGCAAATGAACTATCTTATGAAACTTTTATTGCAAATGACATTTTCATTTCTTCATGTGGATGACAAATAAATTTAAACAGGTTTTATCAAAATCACCCGACCTGTCATATCTGAAGCCCATATAAACTGAAGTAAAATATATCTGGGAAAAAGAACTTCCTGGAAGCTATAATATACCTCAGGTTAATCTTAAACATTAAATATTATTGGTAATTAATGCTGTCTGTCAACTTTTAAGTTAAAAACATATGAATAGGAACATAACACCAACATTCATCTTATTAAGAAGTAGAAAACAGAAAGTGACAAAAGTCCAAGTGTCCAAATAGATTTATAACTGATTTTGACCAACACAAAACAAATTTAATTCACTAAGATTTTAGAATTTATTCATCTCAGATGACCGAAACAAATAACTTGCCTTCCCTAATGTGAAGGGGGATACTGAGATTTGGACTGCAATATGTAGGCCAGATCTCAGTATCATTTTAGAAATTGGCTAGAAAAGTCCAAGGTCAGGGTCACACTGTCAAAGGTCGACCACACAGTGCTGCTGCCAACTTTTAGTAAAACATGAAATTGCATTTCTTAGATGTGTACTTTACCTACTATAATTGACAATACTGGTGGACCGTAAGTGATACATTCTATGAGAGAAGAGGGAGGTGGGCATATGAAATTTGATTGCAGGCCATAATTGGTCCCCGAGCCAGATTTTGGACATGCCAGATATAAGAGGACCAATATTATATAAGTTGTTTTATGTGCCTTCAGATTCCTCTTCATCTGCAAGGGAATGATCCAGCATTCATTGTTTTTCAGCACTGTTTTTCCTGTTTCTTAATACTTTGTTTTTCTTTTGGAAGACATCTTTCACTAATCCAAGATGTCTTCAGATTTCAATGTTACATTATCCATTGTAATTTAAAATTTTTGAAGACAGGTGGGGAATGAAAATGGTAAGCTGAAGGCAACAAAGATGAAGATACTTTTATGCCAAATACATACATTGGGGTGCAAAACATTTAGACAACTTTTATTATTATATCATCTCTATCTATAAAAGGCAGGATGTGTGTGTGTGTAACGAATGCACGGCCGCAATTTTTGACAGATTTGCACCAAAATTTACATGCACATACTCCAAGTTAGCGGAAAGGCTAAGACAGACTTTGCATTTCCCAACTCCCATCAATAGTGGAAATAATCGATTTTTTCATGCTTCTATGGCAGTTTTCATGTAGTTTGAGGCCATTTTCTACTGGCCAGAGTGAGAGCCTATGGCTGGCTGCCACGAATAGGCAGTAAGATTCTATTGGCTAGTGTGAGAGCCAACAGCTGACTGACACGAATGTTAACTAGCATGCTAGCATGCAAAAAAATTGATAGCTGCATTCATCACAAGTGGGAAAAATTTAAATCAGCATGGCACTTTACTCCAATTAGCTCATTCGCTTGCTTAAACTCAACGTTGATTCTGATTCCGCAGAACTGGGTTGGGTGTGAAAAAGTATTTGTTGTTAACATTCTTTTTTCATTCGGTTTTTCCAGTTACGAGTCCTTTTTTAAAGCTGATCATTTTGTGTTCATTTTGTTTAGTTCTTTTTTCGTAACAGATTTAATTTTTAGTATAGAGCTTAGACAAAATTTGCAGTGTGAGATAGGCAAGAAGTAAGGCATGTAGCAACATCAGCATGGCAAAGGGCACCCCTTTAAAGGCAAGGAAAGGCAAAAATATTTTAAGTCAAGTGATAGCAATTGCTGTATGTCGTATGATTTTTGAATCAAGCACGGGCAACGCCGGGCCATGCTGCTAGTTACAGATAAATATAAAATTAAGTGAAAATGACAGAAAGCACAAAAATAAAGAAAAATGAAAGACAAGAGAAAGAGAAAACAAATATCAGAAACAAAATGGATGACTAGCAGAAGAAAAAATAATAGAATGATTTAAAATAAAACTTTAACAAAATGAATGATAAATATCACAATTCAAATTGAAAAGTAATCATTTTATAAAGTTTAGAAATCTCCTGATGTGATTTTAGTAAATAATATTTGGAATGCAATTGTGGACTCTTCTAATTTTCTAACCTTCTCCAACCTTAAAAAAAGCATAATCCATATTATACGCCTACGCGCAGATAACGCTCAACCAATAAAAATGCAAAGAATCGAATCAAGCAATTCTATTGGTAGATCGCCTCCCAAAGCAAGAATTGCGCCAAAATATCTTGAGCCACTTTCGAAAACCCAAAAGGTTATAAAAGGAGAAAAGACAACCCCCAGTCAGTCAGTCCAGCTCACTTTTTGAGCGACTGCACGGTTCAACTCTCTGTCTCCGGACGGAGAGGAACCCGAAGGAGGCTACGCCGAAGGGCGGAGTCTCCTTCAGGGAGGTAAAACGGCCCTGAACCCGTTTATACGGGTTCAAATGGGCTATTTTTTGGCTGAGCCTAATGGCTCAAGAATGCCCACATTAAAAAGGCCTTGTGCCGCATGACACCCCTCGTGGGTGGGTGACTGAATATCTCAGTCCAGCTCACTTTTTGAGCGACTGCACGGTTCAACTCTCTGTCTCCGGACGGAGGAACCCGAAGGAAGCTACGCCGAAGGGCGAAGTCTCCTTCGGGAGGTTAAACTACCTGAACCCGTTTATACCGGGCTAAGGGCTGAGCCTAATGGCTCGAATGCCCACAAAAAAGGCCTCTCCTTCGACACCCTCGTGGGTGGGTGACTGAATATCTCAGTCCAGCTCACTTTTTGAGCGACTGAACCCGTTTCCGGACGGGTTCAAAAGGGCGAAGTCTCCTTCGGGGAGGTTAACTGGCCCTGAACCCGTTTATACGGGTTCAAATGAGCCTTTTTTGGCTGATGGCTCGGGAATGCCCACATTAAAAAAAGGCCTTGTGCCGCATGACACCCCTCGTGGGTGGGTGACTGAATATCTCAGTCTAGCTCACTTTCTGAGTGACTGCACGGTTCAACTCTCTGTCTCCGGACGGAGAGGAACCCGAAGGGAGGCTACGCCGAAGGGCGAAGTCTCCTTCGGGAGGTTAAACCGGCCCTGAACCCGTTTATACGGGTTCAAATGGGCTATTTTTTTTTGGCTGAGCCTAATGGCTCGGGAATGCCCACATTAAAAAAGGCCTTGTGCCGCATGACACCCTCGTGGGTGGGTGACTGAATATCTCAGTCTAGCTCACTTTCTGAGTGACTGCACGGTTCAACTCTCTGTCTCCGGACGGAGAGGAACCCGAAGGAGGCTACGCCGAAGGGCGAAGTCTCCTTCGGGGAGGTTAAATTCCAGCCCTGAACCCGTTTATACGGGTTCAAATGGGCTATTTTTGGCTGGAGCCTAATGGCTTTTTTTGTGCTGCATGCACCCTGGGTGGGTGACTGAATATCTCAGTCTAGCTGAGCGACTGCACGGTTCAACTCTCTGTCTCCGGACGGATGCCCTACGCCGAAGGGCGAAGTTAAAAGGTTAAACCGGCCCTGAACCCGTTTATACGGGTTCAAATGGGCTTTTTTGGCCCTGATGGCTCGGGAATGCCCACATTAAAAAAAAAGGCCGCATGACACCCTCGGGGTGGGTGACTGAATATCTCAGTCTAGCGAACTCGCCGATCGATTGCCTAATTAATCCACGACATTCAAAAACAGAATTTTACCGCGCATTTTTGACGAACTTCAACTGACTCACCTGAAACACTCAACGAACAACTATCGAAACTTTGAACAATATTTCTTATGCACATTGATTTATTCATTACTAAAAATAAGAAATACGAATCACGAAAACAAACACAGACACGTTCAAAGGTAGACTACTTTAGCAAACTTTACAAAAAACTCTTATTATATATTTCAACACAAACACAAAATAACAAACATAACGACACA